GTACCACGACCTCACAGAAGACCGGCGTAAAGGAGAAGTGTTGCACTTCTGCGTTTCGTCTGGTGAGTGAGGTAGCCGGGGCCCACATTATTTAGAGGTGGCAACGCATCTGCAACCCTACGGGTGTTGCAAATGTCCATGGCGAGGCGGTTATCACTTAACATCAGGTGAACCGCCAGCTCGTTTGCCACTTTCTCACATAAAAAAAAGTAAGTAAAGAAACACTAACATTAAAACAACACTAGCTAAACAACTATTTTCTACGTGCTATCTCTTTATAAAGGAAAATAAATAAAATATTTTGTTGGCTTGTATCAGGACATACTTTTATACTTAGTGATCGTGGCATTATATCATTGCATAAAATTTTTAAACAATAATATTATAACTGATCAAGATAATACTGCCTGTTGACATTCCTATTAATCTATGGACAATGTAAACAAAGGCAATTAGAACAAGCTTTTTGAGTTATGTTACAATTATATACCAACTATAAGAACAGAAAAGTTTATCGTGTTATGGCTCTCATTAAAATTACAAAACAAGTTGTCTGAACGTTTGAAGATCTCATTAAATTCCATTTAAGCATGTAGGTATCAAAGTTCGGGAATTGTATTGCACTCTTATAAAATAACATAACATAACTTCAACATGAACCAACCGACCACACACGGTGTAATTGTATATCGCCGACACAAAATTAAATTATGAATCGCATTAATTTTGCCGCTCATTTATATGTTATCAAAAAATCTAATATGAGAACAAAAATAATTATTATTATTAAACCAAAAGTCTAATTAACAATAACTTGGTCCATTTAAGAGACCGGTAATTTTTAATTATATTTACCATCGATTTCGTATTCTTCGAAAGGAACACTTTCATTAAAAACTTGTCTTATCTTATTGTGTGTTTATATTCCATCTTCACAATTTACCCATATTATGACTTTGACAGTCAGATATTTGATATCTGTTATATCGACGCAAATTAACAGGTAATGAAAAATTTTATCATTGCAAAAATAGCATAACATTATCTCATTCATTTACGTGATGTAGTTTATACGACAATGCACACATTTCTTAGATAAAATAAGTATGTTATTTAACGTTTCCGAGTAGTCTACTCAAGATATAAAAAAGAGCCATCAAATCTTTGTGCTTTGCACAAAGATTTGATGCTGAATCACGTATGCCCGTTCTTTGATATGAATCAATACTATTAGAATTAAAGTATGTAGAACTGACTACACCAAACCTCTTAGGATGATAGATTAATCATAAAGAACTGTGTTATATAACACTTACTTTCATTTCGTATAACGCTACGTGATACATCAAGTTAGCCACATCAAAAAAAGATCGCATGCTACTGCGATACACTCCGCTCGCCGCCATCGTCGAAAGAGAAATCGAAAATGCATCAACAGGCGAACGGTGCAATCGCATTTACATAATGAGAGTAATCAACGTCATAAAAACATATTTGTTTACGAATGCGCTACCAACAATCACTTTTGAATTGTCTCTGGCGGCATTAAAGAACTACCGCTATGAAATGTCATATTTCAAGGATTTTTCAATGTAAATTAATGTTTGTTTTTAGTAGCTTTATATTTCATGTATTCTTTATTTGCAATTTCGGAACGAATACAAAGTTAAGGTACAAAATCTAGCCACATTAAAATGGCACATAAAATAATTTTAATAAAATTAATTTGAAATCGTTTCGAAAGCGACATTTTGGCTGCCCGTCAATGTTACTTAAGCCTTAATTCGTAAAAGCAAGGGGATGCATGCAATCAGCCCTCATCGGTAAAACTTTTTTTTTGTCTTAATCGATCTCGGAGCCAATGATTCGTCTGAGACGCGGCCCATAAATCTGTTCGCTTACATCATTAAGAATCGCGTGACTATGAAACATAAGCGAACTTGTCCCCGGGTGTTTACGACCGTTTAAGCTTTCTCACACCGATTTATAGATGAGGGCTAACGCAAAGATTAATTCGTAGCCACAGATAGGGAGGCCAGCTAAATCAATACCTACTACGCAAAAACATAGTAGCTTAAATTATTACAATGCAAAGAAAGCAGCTTGGAGCGAAATATTTATGTTAAAGCGACGAAACAAGATTAAAATATATGGTCATATTCTTCCCTACTATTAATATTATAAATGTGAATGTGTTTGTTTGTTACGCTTTCACGCCGAAACTACTCAATCGATTATCGTGGAACTTAGTACACAAGATATGTGTAAGGTATTATAGAGGTGTGTGTAGAGGTATTAAAAAGGAAGAAATAAACGCGGCCGGAACCGCAGGTGAAAAGCTAGTCACTACATAGTATAAAACAAAGTTTTTCCGCTGTCTGTCTGTCCCTATGTATGTTTAGATCTTTAAAACTACGCAACGGATCTTGATGCATTCTTTTTTACTAGATAGTGATTCAAGAGGAAGGTGTATATGTATAATACAAGCGAAGCCGGAGCGGATCGATAGTAACGTGTAAATTACTACTTACTGCACTAACTGTTCACGGAGGTAGGGCCACGCAGCAGCCTCGGCTGTAGCACGAATGGGCAGGCTCATTCGGGTAAGTACCACGACCTCACAGAAGACTGGCGTAAAGTTGAAGTATAATGCTTTCGCGTTTCGTCTGGTGAGTGAGGTGGCGGAGCCCAATTTTCAACAGGTTGTCAACGCATCTGCAACCCTCGGGTGTAGCAGATGTCCATGGGCGGCGGTATTCACTTAACATCAGTTGAACCGTCTGCTCGCTTGTCAACTTTTCACAAAAAAAATTATTAATAATAATAATAAAAATATCGCATTTATCTTAATAAACACCAATCCAATACTTTAAATTCTTACTTGTAAATTATGAAAAGTTTTTCAAACACAATGTTAAACACTTTAAACATGTACAACCACATCTCTTGGATATCGGACGTTATCCTTTCGAGGAAACTTAAATCTTAAAAAATTTATCGTGCAATAACATTTTTACATTACCTATATTGCTTTTGTGAAATCAGATAAAAAAGTTTTACGATAACAACCACAAATATAAATGCAAAACAGGCTCCAAAAGGACTACCGCTTGTAATTCGAGAACATTACAGTTATATTTAATTAAAGGATTATCAAAGGGTATTGCCGTATTCATACTATAGCACAAAATAAAAAGTGAGTATCCCACATTATCCAGAGATTTAATTATTGCACGCATTAACGTCGGTATGAAATGGGAAATTTACTACTTGCAAAACCGTCGTCGGCTCATGACGAAAACGTCAGTCGGGGCGCGCCTACGCACGCGACGAAGCGGTAACCATGGCAACGCGACCGCGGCGGAATTCAAAATGGCCGGCGCGTCTTATCAGGTTATTGAATACAGACTCCAACCTGCGATTTCACCTGCCTCGTGACGCTTGTCTTATTCAAATAAGTACCTTACACGAATTCTATTCTCTTGAAAACGAAATTAAAATCGTAGTACTCTTACAGTATAGTTATTTGATAAAATAGAGAAAATTGAAATACTTAATCAGCAAATTTCCGTTCATTTTGAGTCCTTTGTCTAATGATACATAAGATGCATATGTTATATCTACAATTTTTTTCTAAGAAGTGTGTAACGCATTTTCATTTTAAACAATGACTACTCACCATTCAAGAATACGTGTGAAAATGTTCCATTTCTAATTAAACACATTAAAACGATTACAAAATATCTCACGCAATCATCTGGCGCCGCAAACCATTCACAATAATCTGATTATTGCAAGACATTTGACAGGTGCCCGAGAGCCTATTTCCGTTAGGCGGCCATGATACCTCAGAATCGTTCCCGAACGGTCAATTCCACCTAAGTATGCAGAAATTACAAGAGCTAATATCGGGTGCCGCATGTCAATATGTCGGACGTGTTTCGAATTAATTGTTTCTATCTTGATATGGAATTATACCTTACGTCGCGTAATTCAGCTCGCCCTACCATAAACCGGAGAAGTGTTGCAAATTAAAAAAACAAGTGCAATGTGTAAGCGTAAGTAAAAATATTACGTAGATAATATATTGCGGTATAGCAGTAGTGTTAATGACAAACAAGAAACTTTAGTACATACTTAAAGGCTCTCCTTTCTTGATTTTTACAAATATTTAGAAGCAGATGAAAATGCGATAGCAAATTTCAAATTATGTTATTGTTTGTTAAGCTTCTTTCTAGGTTAATGTTGTTAACTAGAATTGTGTCATACATTTTGTTATACAACTTTTTTGAATTTGTACTTCTTTTGGAGTGTTTGGAAAAAATATCAGTAAATTTTTTATCATGCGTGCGCACACCGATAGGCAAAAAGCGACATGATGAAGTTGATCCCTTTGCAACCGAATTCATCAATTTATTATTACCACAGTAACCAAAAACAACCTTTTGAAATCCGTCTAAAATTCCAAGGTATTTAATTAAACCGTTATCAATTTCATTTATTACATTTTTCCCAAACACAGAGTACTGGCACAGGGGATAAAATTTTCAGTTAGTTTTCTTTTTTTACGCTAAAGAAGTATAAGTTTTTACGTGCGTACCTAATTACAAACATACTTTTTCGATTCGAAGACGAGTCAATATGACAATAATTATTTATTTAATTCTTGAAGCTATCGAATTGAAGGGAAAAATACTTGGACTGAGTCAATAGAGCATTTGTTGTATTCATGTATTCGCTGGCCGTTGCGATCGCGCGCAGGCAACAAAAGATGGCATTTCGTATTCGCCTCTCACCGAAGCGAAACCCGTACGTGTCTCGGAACACTATCCAGACTTATCACCAGCGAGCCAAGAAAGGGCGCCACATGCACTTTGTGCACAAACAAAAGCTCCTTTAGTACTTTTTTTATTTTGGAATTGCTGGCAACAACAGACGATGTAGGTTTTATGTAATCTTTAATTGTCGTGGAATTTTAATCAATCCGCGGCGGAGGTCTAGCGGTCGTCTCGCTCGGAGGTCGTGGGTTCGCACCCAGTGGCGTGCACTAACGGGTTTTTCGGACTTCTCACGTGCGGGCACGGTTTAGCGGCCATGTCGTAGCTCATAACGTATCGGCCAACGTTTGCCCTCCCGCTCTACGGAATTAATTAAGAGAGATTCAAAAGATAACAATTACAAGATATCGCACGCGATAACGGAGCAATTAACGAACGCCTCGTAGATCCGCCGGATAGTTAAAAAAAAATATCCTACAACTAAAGAGTCGAAAGCGCGATACAGTATCGCGGAACGTCGAAAAGAACGGAGCAGATATCGGCGCGATAAGATTCGCGAGCCAATAATCGTTTAGGCCCATACGATTCTTAATTCCCGTTGCTAATTCGTTTACAATGCGGCGATAACGCGGGCCCGGACGGACGGCCCGGGGGCGCCCCGGGCGGCGGGCACTGTTTAATTTTCAATTTAGATCGCAATTTGCGATGCGCCCAACGCACGCCCAAACTGGCAACACCGGCCCGATAGATTTATGCGCGCACTCAGCGCATAGTGCTGCAGCGTCGCGCATACATTAAAACGTACCAGCCGACGCGAGTTATGAGTTAGTCGGATCAGTGAGATAAGGTTAATGAGAATTTTTCGGCCGCACTCCCCCCGAGTACGGGAGGCGGTGCCCCCCGACTGAGATACGGGCATCGACGTGTCCCACGTGACTAATTGGTGTACGATTTTCGCCGTTGCGGGCGAGTGAGTGAGTTCCGAGGGTAATTGAGCGCGATAACGCGATCTCATTGTAACGGGCCCGTTAAATTAGTTCCCCGGCCGCTAATACACGCCCCGCCTTTAATTCATTACAAACGATTCGGCCCTAATTAGTTCATTTGTCTTCGTAAAGGATTGAACGTTCACGTAAACATTCTTTACGGGTACACGTTTAGACAGTGCTCGACTAGTGGCAGTCGAGTCGGGTTTTCGATATGAGACTGGTTCGATTCCCAGTCAACCTGGTAGAAAAACTACCGTCTCAATGTTGTGCCTGGAATAAGACAAATGGTTAAGGTTAGTTGTCTCGTTTGGGATAACCTAGATAGAGTTATTATCTAACTGCTGCCCCGCGGAGGACTTGAGAGGGGTGCCGTGCTCATTGCACCGACACGGCACCATTTGGCTGGATCGGGTGTCTAGCACCCGGGAGAGGAGGCCTGAGAAGACCACAGTCGCGTTCGCGGAAGATTGCGATTTCGTGTTCCCGTGTCCCCGGCAAAGGGACAGCGCAGGTGCAACGTGGGTTTTTTAGTGGGTACCCTGTAACTCCCACATGATGCCTGATGCCGGCGAGGGATTCATAAAGCATCTTTCCCGCGTAAAAAAAAAAAGCTTAGCTCAACAAAAATGTTGGAAACCAGAATATATTCAATGATTAATTAGTTCTCCCGATTTCAACGCTTAAATTTGTTTACTATATGATTAAAAATCATTTGCTGTTATTTCAAAACGGTGACTTTACGATGACATAACGGCTATGTAGAGAAATAATACAAGAACATTTGCCTTTAACAAGAACCATACAAGAGCACCGGTTCTTTTCGAAATAGAACAGTTGATTTTCGACATCAGTGTCCTATATACTATATTATATATATTTATTTTTCTTGCCAAATCTTGTCCCGCCCTGGGCAGTAATTCCTGTGTCTCAGGAGGTTCAAATATGAAAATCGAATGATGTCTTAAAGTACATTCATACAAACTTCAATGGCAAATTGTTGGAAACAAAACGTTTCGTACGTTATCCGTGCAGGCAAAGCCACTCAGCTAGTCAGGGCGGCTTCGAGCACGGGTGTGCTTTCGCATTATGCGATATAAAGTGGTGGGGTGCGATAAAAAAGGAATCCAATCGTTTTTCGTCGGCGCGAACAAGCGATTAAAACATCGCGGGGCGTTCGTAAATCGATGCGTTACAACGAAATCACGTGACGTTATCGTACTGCAGATTGCAACATTCGAAGTGTTTTAGCGAACGCGCATGATCGATCATCGGCCCCTTGGGGTCACGCGGACAAACGTCGCACGACAAAGATAAAGGAGAAGTGGACAAAGAATACCGAATCGCCAATCCAATGGAGACGCTAATGAAGAACACGCATTAAATGGCGACTTTTACTCACAAGTTATTAACGTTGACAGCACAGGTTATCATATTGCGGCGAGATTTTCACCTGATGTTGAGTTGAACTTACAACGAACTTTAACTGGAGAGGATTTGTATTCATAAGGCATGTCAGTGCGTTCTGTTACAGTCACGTCGCTTTTATTTTTTGCCTTTTTCTAGCAACTTTTTGACCCGTATATATACGATTCAGTAGAGTCATTCAGAAGTTTCACGATCATTTACTCGCGAGCAAACGATTTTATTTAACAAAGATTGTGCAATTAAATGTAACAAGGCTAATAATATCGTTGAGGGGAATGATACAATATACACGGCAACGTATCGTCGCGTCACATCTTCCGCCAGCTAAGGACCGAAGAGGGCCGTTTTGCTGCTCCATTACAATTGCAAATGCGCAAACACCTTACGAGTTTTCAAGCGTAGAGGCGTTGACGCGAGTTATTTGTTTAATTCACAATAGCGGCCCTTCGGAGCGATGGCACGATTAGGGGGAATTAGACTACATTTGAATTTAGAACGGAAATGGCTCACCTTTAGGATGCAGCTGCCGACTGCCTCGCTTTCGGGGACGGTGACGTTGTAGAAGGACTGGTCGAAGATCGGCTCGTTGTCGTTCACGTCGAGGACGGTCACCAGCAGGGTGGCGGTGGACGAGAGCGGCGGGGCACCGCGGTCCGTGGCCACCACCGTCAGCCTCGGCATCGGATTCGTCTCGCAGTCTACGCGCGCGCGCGTGGTCACCAGCCCCGAGCGCTCGTCGATCGAGAACCAGTCCGATTGTGGCGTCGGCGCCAACGTGTATCTGACTTCAGAGTTCTCCCCCTCGTCGGCGTCTGCCGCGCTCAGCTGGAGGACGGGGGTGCCGGGCGCGGCGGCCTCAGGGACGCTCGCTCTGTACACGTCCTCCAGGAACACAGGGGGGTTATCGTTGACGTCGGTCACGCGAAGACTGATGATACGAGACGCGTGCAGCGGCGGCGACCCCTTGTCGGTGGCGACCACGTTCAACGTGTAAGTCGACCTGGACTCCCGGTCCAGCGGCAGCGCGACCACCACCAGATAGATGATGTTGTCGTGCGTCCGCAGATCGAAGTGTCCGTCGCCGCCACTCAGCGTAACATTCACGTTGGCGTATTCAGTCTTCGAGTCCGGGTCGTGGACGGATATCCGCGCGACGAACTCGTCCAGTTGCGCCGATTCCGAGATCTTAGGTGTGGCGTCGTCACTCAGGAAGATCACGTCGATCGTTGGCTGGTTGTCATTCACGTCTGTGACACGGATGGAGACGAAAGCCGTCGTCTCCAACGGCTGCGCACCTTTGTCTCTGGCGACAACGACGAGCTCGTGCAGTTCTTTGGTCTCGAAATCCAGTGCCTTGTTCACTGTGACCTCGCCTGTTCCGGGGTCTATCTTGAACATGTTCTCTTTATCGCTTTGGCGTCTGTTTATCGAGTACTCGATCACACCGTTCTCTCCTGCATCGGAATCGGTCGCTGATACTCTTAGGACTGTCGTACCTATTGTCGCGTTCTCTGGAATAGTCGCAGAGTACGCGCTCTCTGCGAAAACCGGTGGATTGTCGTTTACATCTAGAATAGTTATATTTACAGTCATGGTCCCCCTAAGCGGTGGCGTGCCGCCGTCTAGAGCCTCTATCACCAACTCATAATGGTCCGTGGTTTCCCTATCTAGGAAACCATTTATCTGCAAATCTAAATACAACACTCCGTCCAACTCCCTATGCGAGGAGAGCCGGTAAGCGTTCTCCGTGTTCCCGGACACTATATTGTACCTCTGCGTGTTAAACGCCCCCAGATCCTGGTCCCTGGCTGGGTTCAGTTTCCTCTTGACGTCCCGCGGCGTGTTCTCCGAGAACTCCACGTTCATGACCGGCGTGGGGAACGTTGGGGCGTTGTCGTTCTCGTCCAGCACGCGCACCACGACGCGCACGTTGTCCCCGCTGGCCGGTATCGCCACCAGGGCGTAGTGGTCCCTGCTCTCTCTGTCTAGCGGCAGCCGGGTCCTTATCTCGCCCGTGTGCGGGTCGATCTTGAGGTCGTCGTTGACCGCGCTGCCCGGTACCGGTACTATTGTGTACGGTGGCGCGGCGTCCGGGAGCTCGTCTCCCAAATGGCCCACCAAGGTGCCGGCGCGCGCGTTCTCCCTCACCGCGAACTCCCGAACGTGCTCCGCGGCCGCGGCCACCGCCAGGAAAGCTATCACGCGCAACATTGCGCGCTCCCTTCTCTCACCGCTCGCGCATCGTCACCCGCACCTGGATAATGGAAACGCGGAATTAGTATCAACGCTTTTATTAACGGTTTAATTGTGAATAGGCTTTTTATGTGGAGGGTTGGTGCGACAGGTATTTCATCATTTGACATTTACAACACCAGAGCAGTTGGAGATGCGACGTTAAGCGCCAAACCAGCCCTGCTAACCTCACTCACCAGTCCAAACGTAAACTTGCAACAGCGAATGCTGCGGGTTCTACCACAGTTCTACGACGCATTTGACTGTAGATAAGTTGTATTTTTTGTGTTGTTTATTATAACTTTCAAACTATAGACGGCAATAATAATATGTTGGTATACAAGCCGTATAACAAATATCTTTCTCTATTCATTTAATAAAAACAACATATGATATTATTTCCATAAGAGGATGTACAAATATAGTATTATTTCTATATGAGTTTGAGATCCCGCAGTAGATGAAGTAGAGAATAACGGGAAAAAAATTAACAAGAAGAAAGAGCATCACATCAAACGGAGTAACAATCCAAACCTTCGCCGACCCGCTCACAATATTTATTTCACGAAAAACAAAAATGTTGAATTAAAACACGCGTACATACGAGAAAGCACGAGCAAAATTCATTACATTTCAACACCGCTATGTGTTTATTTCTTGCATCTTGCTAGGTATGCCAGGCCGACCCGTTCCAGTCCGCGGAGAGAGGCGATACCGTTTATATCAGCTTTTACTTTCTTATGTTACGCAAATTAATATGGAAAAAAGCAAAACAACGCACGCGCCGCTCTACTTTTACCTCGTCACTTTGTTGGTTCCCTTTTACCAGAACGAGGCTTCATTAAAAAAAGTTAATGAGGAAAGTTTAAAACTAATTAGCAACACATACACCGAATAGCTGTGTGTTTTGATAATTCAATATGCTACTGGAGGCGAGGGGTAAAGCGAGACTTTCTATTAAATATTAACGTTAAATCCTCAGCAATCGATTCGAAACGGTAATACATTTTAACAAAAAACATGCCGTCCACTAAAAATGTTGTCTCAGATTCGTATTCGATATAATTGCCCCTTTTCTCCATAAAGAAAATTATAATAAAATATCACGTAGATCCCAATTGTGCGACACAATTATACCGCCCTTTGTGAAATCCGTTGATAGTATTGTAACAATCCATACGAGAGTTTCGAACTGTGATTGCGTGATAAAATTTGCTGTCGCCATTGCGCTTATCTGTTGTTGACATCATAACTATTTATAAGATCATTTAGGCTAAATATATGTATAAAATATATAGCTATCACTTAACATATTCCACAGAGATAGTGCCAACTTTTCAATGAGATCAAGCTCGAAACATGATGGACGACAAACAAATTTTGCACTCGTGAAAGCGAAGAAACGGAAAATCCTGTACGGCTTCGTACCTGTCACTGCAGAACTAATGAAGACTTTTCCCTGAATAAAAAAAGATATCGAATTCACATCACCGTTTTATCTCACGACATCCAAATACCATCCCTCCTCGTTTCGTCAAAGCAAAAGGTCGAAAAACGTAAAGTCGTATCGTGAGCCCACATCAAGCTGTGCCCCTGCCTGTCTTTAGTCATTTATTTATTTCAACATCCAAGTGTTGAGTTTTGGAACACTCGAAATGTAGCGAATAAAATATGCGTAGGATGTGTTTACAAGATAAGCAATATTGCGACGGGCGAACGATAAAGCAGCCTCCTTTTTCTGCTTACAAGCTTTCAAAATTAATTAACCACCGAAACACTTACAGGAAAGGAATATCAAAGTCAACGTAACTAAAGGGTAAAGTCATTTTATATAAGTTTTATTTATCTAAATATATCTATTACTTAACTTGTCTACACTTTAAGTTGCCTGTCAGGGTGATAAAATTAAGTTATATATTTATTTTAGATTACAATGAATACAAAAAATGCAAACACAATCCAGGGTAATAAACGTTTACACACTGTAATTACTTCTTACGTGTTATCTACTCTCCATCGATTGGCAATAATGTTTTCATTGTTACGAATAAAAGAATTGCGTGTATCACAATTTAAAAGAAACTCTGGCTGCTATCGGTGTTTGTTAATAGCGACAATATTACAAGAGGCATTTCATCTGTCTAGTTAGTGAAAGCGCTAATTAAGCTTTTTTTTAATTGAAGTTGAAATGAAGTTGTCCGTGTTCTATTTAGTTCGAATTAAGAAATTCAAGTTGCACTGCTACTTGCTACGTTACTATTATAGCTATATTATAGATTTCTATAATATACATTAACATAAATTAATAATATTGTTAACGTAAAGCTATATATGAAGTGTATGGTGGATTACACTACTTTTTAACCGGCATTTTTGAAGGTAAAGGCTGACACGTCAGTGTCTTTGGAAGTATTTTTTATATAATTATAAGATATTTTTGTATCACTAGGTTTTCTTCTTCTCTTTTAACTCACAACACTTAAAATTGCAACAATTTCATTGATACTCATTTGCACTGTTTAATTGATATAAATTTCAGTTACTCAAAATTCTTTGTATTGCATATCATGAGTACTTTATAACTTAAATTTTGTGCATTCGATGTAATAAATATGTCGTTTAAAATTTTACTGACAATTGTAATCATCGATTAGACTACAGAAATGTCAACTAACATCCACAACTATAATTGATAGCAAACCAAAATCTCTTGCAGCCCAAAAAATAGATTAATTCCCAAATATATTATCCGATTGGCACCGACGCGTGTGCCTTGTCGTTTTGTATCATGCAAAACTGCGAATATTTCCAACTTTAATTCAAAGACTTATGCCGTCTTGATTAGATCGCCATAATTCATAGAGTTGTCATGCTCATGTCGTTACTGGACCGGTTGCTTTTATCCGTGTGTATTAGCATTTGCGACATAACTTCGACCGCGGCTCTACCAGCGTGTAACGGACACCCGGCACAGGCAGTGTAACATGTGACCACCTTTCTGAAGATGATTTTAAAAAGGCCAAATTGCAATACGCTATATTATGAAAACAGAATCCATTTTAAAGCAATTACACTCAATTCCTAGACTTTTGAAAATCAAGAGCTAGTAAAGTTTTACCCACAATACCAGAATACTCTAATTTGTTTAAGCGAATATAAAAATATTCATATTTAATATAAAGAAATAAACATACAATCGTGTCGTAATAGTAATGGACCATATTTTGATCAAACTTATAATATTGAAGGATATATTATGAACTTAACTATAATTTAACGTTAGAAAACTTATAACATTAAAATGTCTGTGTATAAAACAATAATTCTGAATTAACACATTACCGGTTCAAAATAAATGTCTTTAAAATATTCCTCTAATTTCAATAGATTATTATTAGTATGCGCATTTATAAAAGCAATCCTCTAATAACTATCATGAACAAGACAAAAAATATTTGTGCATTATATCATTTAAAATTTCCTGGGACACCTAAACACTTAAGACAAATATTAAGACATATTAAATCTTAATATTCATTTAACATTCGAAAAAAATGTAACAATTTATTGTATGCTAATAGTCTGAAGCCGCTTTGAGAAATAGACGATGACAATACAAAAATGTTTTAATTTGATCCATACTTTTATAACATCAATTTATAAAAACTAGAATATAAATGTTTAAAATTTTCGTGATACTTTTAACGCTCATAATATTTATATTAAAACAACATTAGTAAAAATTTCACTGTAAATATTGTTTGGCAACTGCCTTATACCTTATACACTACACGGATCTGATCTCAAAATTTAGAGAATATCAATATTACACCATTTAGTTGCTGTTTACAGTTCCTGTTCAAAATACAAATATATTAGATTTATCGAAATTATGAATTATTTCCATATATTATTTCTCAAAGGTGTTTTTTTTTTGGAACGCTATAACTTCCATAATTCTTCATTAAATTTAATGCTTCAAATACCATTTTAAAGCTTATGCTTGTCGCTATTGACAATCAATTGAATAAAATAACGGTTTCGTGAAAAAACTTTCGTTTAAAACCTTCTTATAAAGAATGAATAGTAATACCATCTATTGACAATTTCTTTATATGAAAGATTGCGAAGGAGACTGAATTTTACTTGTATTCTTCAAAATAAGATATATAAGATGATAAACACTTTTTCTACGTTATTATAATTTTTGTTTTTATGTGAAAAGTTGCCAAGCGAGCAGATGATTCACCTGATGTTAAGTGAATACCGCCGCCCGTGGACATCTGCCACACCCGAGGGTTATCTGTAACCCTCGGGTGTGGCAGATGTCCACGGGCATTGCGTTGGCAACCTTTTGAAAATTGGGCACCGGCCACCTCGCTCACCAGACGAAACGCGAAAGTATTATACTTCCACTTTACGCCGGTATTCTGTGAGGTCATGGTATTTGCCCGTTCGTGCAACAGCCGAGGCCCCTGCTGTGATTCGATGACCGAACACGGTACTGTGCGATAATTTAGCGCAAGTTACCGCTTATTCATTATTTTAATGGCGTATTTCAACTTCACCCCCGTATGAAAGTATATAAGTATGAAAAATCAATATATATATATCGAATTGATTTAATTTCTTAAGTACATGTTTAAAAAAAGTACCTAACAACAATACTTTTACAAAAAGCAATAAATTACTATAATATTAATGATTTTTGAACCGAATATGAAATTAACAAAAGGTGAACAATCGATTTGAAGTAATTACACACGAAAAGTCTAGAATTACCAAAGGCATTTCTTTCACGAAAAACTCCGATGCACCGAAACATAACCTCCGAGCGAGCAAAGTGTAAGGGACCAAAGGCCCGACGGAAAATATCGAATTTCACGGGCGCAAAGCGTCGAAAGTCGAAAAATGCGCCTTCCAAACAAATTAACGTCAGATATGTCGCGAATGCGCCGGCGACCTTTTCGATTCGGTCCAGAATGCCTAAACTGACACCTAGACGGTGAACTATCGCCCGAAAAATCCACTTTTTGTTAGTCCATCAGTCAATATAAAAAAGAACCATGTACGTATAAAACAAAGAAAGTATTTAAGATATTGAATAAATAATATAGCGATTGATAATGAACTTCAGAAATGCTTTTAAGTTATAAAACATATGTACGAGTTTAACTTTTAATGTTTCGTTTGCAAAATGTGTAGATGAATTTACACGGAAATTTTTAAATGATTCATACAAATATAATGTATCTGTTTTCCTGAAAAGAATATTCACGTAGTACTCAATATTTTAAATTAACAAAAAATATATAATGTTAGGCTGAATCCTGAAGATTAAAATTAACTAACTTGCTTCAGATATAAAATCAAATCGTTACTCTTTATAGACTTTATCGCCGTTTCTTTTTTTTTACCAATATTTATGAATTACTTAATCCTTAATATTTACTTAATACTTAATATTTACGGTTACTTGTAACTTGTACTAACTGTAAATTATAGATAATTTTTAAATAAATTAACTAGATATTAACCGATAATCTAAAATAATTAAAATTAAAATGATTATGATTATGTTTACATCTTTAATTCGATTACTATTTATTTAAATTTGCCTGATGCTATGCACTACCTAAATTAAAATAAAAATGCCTTTTTAAGAAATATACGTCATTTTAGCAGTATTACTAATGTATTTAATCGTTAGATATTGCTTTTTTCATATCTACACTAATGCTGTTTATTGTTAAACTAAAATGTTTTCCAGATATGACTGTATTTTATTTACATACATTACAAAAAACCGAGCTTACCGTATCCGTAGGCAATGGGCAAAATGATGGACGGTCTCCTAATTTCGTTCCTTTATTTGTCTAGTCTAGCCATAAGAAACTTAAACTATCGCAGTTCTTTGCAGTGCTTTAATAAGTAATTGAAGTTTATTATAAGATCCTAATCAAGAAACGCCACTCAATAATAGAGCAGAACAAGTTGATCCGTTTAAATATAACACAATGAGTCACCATCCATCAATTAATTAATCGTCTTAATAAAATTTAAAAGTAGTCTATTACAGTAGCCTACGAAATCAACCTTTGTGTATCGATGGTTATTATTACATGAAATATTCCCTAAGTCAAGAAAAATAAATTAAACGAATTAATACAATCCGTTAAAGAGTTTCACTTAACGATGTACAGCTAGATTTTGATATTTATTTATTTATTTATTAGTTGCACCAACAGAGTAGACACCATCACAAGTAAAAAAAAAGAAACCAAAACACAATATTGGTGATACTCCAATTATAGGTACAAACGACATACAAATCATCAACAGCGTTACAAATTAAGAATTAAATTGAAATCATTAATTAATAATACAAATTAATAATACAATTTATAAGCAGATAAATGTTCAAAGTATAGCGAAAAAGACGCTTATTCAAATAATTATACGTTGATAAAAAAATTCAATGGACGCTCACAATATTCAATTTCGCGTTTTAAAGTACATGAGGCGAACAATAAGCACTTTAGTAAAACCCCAACTGTAGCTTGCTTATTCAAAGACTAACCCAAGTCTGTTTTGCATTGAATATGATTGTTATCGATCGATGCTTTGTATCAACACGGCCGGCGCGCTGGGCGGTAAGCAGAGATCATCTTAACACGTAAGAACATCGTAATAAAATACAATCGAGACGCGAGTCGAACCTGCCCCGAAAAATATGCTGTGACACTGAAAATGACATTAGCGCGTGGGATTTGCGCGGGATTCGCCGTTTTTTTTTTTTTTAATTTTAATTTTAATTAATCTCTCTCATTTTCATTTTTATCTCTCGCCAGCATTTACACGAGATATAAATTTCGTCGAACGATCCATTTTATTCTAATGTTAAAAGAATTTAAGGATCGATTTATATTCTTGTTCGTTACATTTACAATCGACTTAACCAAAGATTTATGTACTTCCAAAAAGTGTGTACCCGATTTTAACTGAACAATGTTTCGTACGATTCGAATAAATCTCACTATACTTTTGGATAAAAAAATACTTTTTACTAAATATAAAAAGGGTTTATTTTACTGTTATTTACAGAAAATATTTATTTTTACATCTAATTAATTAAAAAAATAAAGTTATTTATGAAAAACACCTTAAACGGGATTCGTGTCATAGGTTTGGCTTTTCATTCTATTTTTTATTATAAATTTACAAATCATTATTGTATCTTAGATGGGATTACACCTATACGAATTCAAATGCTCAACAGAAAGTCTTTACGATGATAGGGACTGAATATATTTCGAATTTATTTGAAAGAAATATCCCAAAACACAAATGTTACTCCCACTTATGAAGATTTATAAGAACCGAAAACAATTACGAAGATGCGAGTGAGTGACGATATTTCACTTACACCAAATTTACACGTCCCCTAAATGTTCCCTGTTTGATATATTCGAACATAATACACAAACAGTTCTCTTTTGGATACGATAAAAACAATTTTCCTGTTCAAATCAATTTTATTGTATCATTTATTTCTTTTAACAGACACTTCGTTACTTTGCGTTATAAAAAAAGGTAAATGTTTTTTAAAACTTTACTCTTAATACTGTAGTGTAATGAGTTGATATTATGTGTTCAGTATTTGTTTATGTTTTATTATTTAGCCCTCAAATATTTAAATAATTGTTATTAAAGATAAAAGTCTTAAACTTTTTGATTTTCTATGTTAAAAATTTAAACTTACGTGTAATCATATAACGAATTCTGATTGTATTTAAAGTTTGACAAGCAAAACAATACTAATTTTAATTATTTTTTTACAACGATGTAACGTAATTGACTCTTTATATTTTGTTTCTAATTTTATTCGTTTAAGTGACACGGATAGTCGGAAGGGTTAGATTAATTAATTTAATAGTAAGTTACTTTCTTCTCTATTGAAACTTATTTAAAATCACGTGAGTGCTGCGAGGAAATATCGCGTTAAAAGTTGAATGGGTGGTAATCTATACCTTTGTGCAGTATTTAAGTAATACTTATTGAACTTTTCATCGAAACCGGTATCGCCGACGATAAAATACGCGGTGAAACTCGGCCCTCGCGCCCGCGGAGTTTTAACTGAATTTACAATACTTTAAAAGCTAATTAAAAGCACGTCGTAATTGACCGACGGGTATAAACGTTGCAAATTCGATCTACGCACTCGGGATTCTTAAGGCTTGACTTGTTTTACGTGCTTCTCTTAAGGTCGCAAGAAGTGATCGGTTTGTGTTTCGTTTTGAATAAAATTAGACCCGCTTTCGACACCATTTTACGAAATAATTTGTTTACGTAAATCTACTATAAGAATCTCCGCACGTTCTCCGTAACACAATGGAAAGGAACGGTTTTGACTAACGACCCATATATTGTAATACATCTGTTGGCTCCGAGCGAAGCACATCGCCACCTCCAATTGTTCTCTATCTCGAAATTGTAATAACGCGCTTGCCATTACATTGTGCGGTTCCCCGTTCGATTCCCGTTTCGAGTCGTTAGCGGTTTTTGTTCAGTGTTTCTCGAAATCAGTTTCTTGACAACGATTCTGTGTAATGATCGTAAGGATAGTTGTGGCCGGTGAAGAAATTCTTATAGTCCGAAACGCTTTATTGTTTATAATCTAATTTGATTTTAACTGGTAACACCTACAACGATTCTATGTGCATGAACTGCTTGTTTATCTAACTGCACAAAATTTATATTAAATGTAATAATGGTAATGGTTGAACAAGGTTTCCAAATTTAAAAAGAAAAAAGTCAATCTATCTATTTAATTACGAGATAATTATGTAGAGAAATATTGTGTTTAACATATAATGTCTACGGTTTATTAAAATTATACTCATTATTTAATCTCACTGTACAAAGTATAAAGTTCTAAATATTTTGAAATTGAGTCGATAGAATTTTGTTGAAAAGTGGTTTCATATTCTATGATAATAAAAGGGTAATGCATGTATTACACTAATACTAAATTTTCCGTATTCACCTCTCCGATTGTCAGTTATTACATTATATTTATCACTAACTCAACGTTTTGGTATCCTATTAATCAGTTACGTTATTAAATCGGGTTTTATTAATGTCTGGTCGGATCATAAAATCTAACGGTTTTCGTACGTCATCTACATATATAAAATTCTTGCGAATGTTTTTATACGAAAAGAAAAACTAATATATTAGAGGATATTCTTGAGTTAAATGTAAGCATGTTTAAACGCCGCAATAATTTACGTTCAACTGGATCGTCATAGGGTAACAGGTGTGGGTCTATAATGAAACGAGAAACGTAACGACATCAACTATCTCAAAGCTGCGCCGAGACGAGCTTTGGCAGAGCGCTCAAACTTTCCCGCTAAGCACCCGCGCCAACCATCGGAACAACTTCAAAAACGTACCCACCTTCAGAACCCTCACCGCGGCACAGTTTCGTCCACTAGCATAATCAATTCACCGGCTTTTTTTTATCCGTATCTCCACTCTTTCCCGAAAATATAACCGCGCGGCACGTAAACGGACACTGGAGCACAAGCAATCGCGATTTATTTGTTACTGAAACACTGCACTGCAATCCGATTACACGGTAAACGTGAGGATTGGGCCGTCGGCACTTTTGCGTTAGCACTTTTGTTTGGGAAACGTGTTTCTGTGCGTTTCGGAGGGACGCGTGGTCGCGGCGGAGGCGGCCGGTCGCGGCCAAGACACCGAAGTCACTATCCCGCCGGGCTGCGGCGAGGGGCGCCCCCCACGCCCCCCAAACAGGTTGTGCTCGACGCTCGCATACCGTTTGAGCGCCAATTTCGTAGCTCCCCTGGATAGGGACGCCCGATCCGCTGAGGTAATGATAAAAGATAAAGTCTACGACAATTACACTCCCATCTCTCCTCTGCACATGTGCAATTTACTATACATTTCGTCTGAACGGCACTCCGGACTGAATGAGGTTTCGTTAAAAAGGGAGTTACACTTTTATCATCTCAGTGCCGAATATTCCGAATGTTTCTGGATTATGTGTTTTATTCTTCAATTATTTCGGTTGTAGCGTTCACAGTGAAAACGCTATTTGTTTTAATATTGTTGATCTAAGCGGTTAAATACCTTAAAAAGGCAAAAACCGACGAAGGCCCAAAATCGAATAACCAATGTCGGCGTATCGCTACGAAAAGTCACAATGATAACGTTTTTTTTTTGCACAACAATGGTTTTGTCATAGAACATTTCATGATTGCAGTACTATTTGAACTTATGTCAAATTACATATCATAATTAAATTATATAAAGAACTATAACTTCACAACAAAGTAGTAAATATTATCTATCGAATGTACATATTTAAGTTGGAAGTATAAACATTGCAAGTAAAAGATATCAACGCGTGCCGATACATTGTGGCTGCTTGCCTCCCAGCCTTTAATAAATTCGATCACTAATTTTCTTTTATTACTTGTGATCAAACATCAAAGGGGAATTGTCTTAAAATTTATACTTATTGGAATTAGTTACTTTATTGGGTACTTTGAAAATGTAATAATGTAATAAATTAAACCTAACAAATTTATATTTGTGTTAACGTATTAAAGCTATGAATTAATTTCTTGAATGTGCAAAACTAAGTTAGTTCTCTTTTTATATTACGAATATTTTATTATATTTTTTCAATTTGTAACAAATGTGATTTGCATCATTTATCAGTCTATCAATAAAATTTGTATGGCTTTGTAAACGGGGCATTGTTTATAAATATTGTTGTAACTTATTGAAAGTTAAAACATGTATTTCTTGTAAGACGAAAGAAATAAACATTTCATTATTAATATATTCACAAAATGTTAAACCGTTGTTATGATTTCAAATTTTGAAAAAATAAAAGCATAACATGATACTGTTATAATAGTTCGCGCCACACTACATGTATCAACGCGCTCACTGTTACAACCATTTTATCTTTGTACGTTGGCTTAAATTAAAATCATGACGTGTTTTTAATTTTAAAAATTGAGCTACATAGAAATCTAAATAATTATAATAATATATAACCACTTTATCATCGAAAGCTCAAACGACGTTATATTTTACATACATCATTTGGACATGAACCTAAAAACAGTTCCAGCACAATTATCTGTAGGCCATATAAATTAGGTACTCATCCATGCGAGAAACGGACGCGTAAGTTAATTGAAGCTTCGAAGACACCTTTTTTAAATTGAAATATATTGGACATTTCAATTAAAAAAGATCTTTCTCTCTCTCCTCCCCTCTCACACTCTCCTTCTCTCTCTCAGACTCTCTCTCTCCTCCCCTCTCACACTCTCCTTCTCTCTCTCAGACTCTCTCTCTTTCTCTCTTTTGACAGAAACTTTACGTAGACACAAATTTTCATAGTAAAAAAGCATACCTACTTGGTATAATTCAACCAATTTTAAGATTTTCAGTACATTATCTGGGTAACTACGGCTTCCCCGTTTAGCTACATAATAAATACACAATAAAATTATATTATATGTAAATGTCACGGATATATAATATTATATAGAAATATAATCCGCGACATTCCCAACATTGCCGCGCCGCGGCTAAGTATTAAACTTACACGGGACCTTAATCTAAGTGATGAAGATATTGCAAAAGGACGAGCTAAGTTACGCGTGCAAGCGCTTACATTGTTGCCCGCAATCGCGATCGGACGCGAGTTCAATTTAATTTACAATCACAGTGCCCTATTGTGATCGGTGAGGGTGTACGCTATCTGTTAGGTAGGCTCTACTTTTAATATAGATAATAGCAGATCTGTAGTTTCCCTTTTTTGGTTTGTTTTTAGAACTTTGTTTTTATCGGATGATGGTTTCACTTTAAGTCGCAAGTACTACAAAAAGCCCCATATTAGACCTGCGAAAATGTCAGTTTAGACTGTGACTTTCTTTTAAAGACTTTTAGCACCTTTTATCTAATATATAAAATTCTCATGTCACGGTTTTTGTAACTGAACTCCTCCGAAACGGCTCGACCGATTTTTGTGAATTTTTGTGTGCATATCGGCCAGGGAGAATCGGACAACATCTATTTTTCATCCCCCTAAATGTTAAGGGTGATCCACCTCAAACATTTTTTTCTAACCTACAAATGATTTATATGGCAAATAAGTAATAAAATTACAATCAAGAATCCTAAGTGTCCAAATCCTCCACAGTGAGAGACGTCTACTCACTGTGAAAACTTTGAAAAAACTGCGACTATTCGTACTTAATATGAATTAAAACCTATCGTATGAACACCCGCTTGACTTAAAATCGAACACTGCAAATAACGTGTTGAACAATGCCGTGTGAACCTAGCCTTATTATGTAAGTCACAGTAATCTACGAAATAATTTCTTATCACCCAGCGATCGTAATTTTTATGAAATTTACACAGTCGGTTGCAGAAGGATGAAAAAATCAGGTCTTCCTTTACATGTAAAGATTCCTGATCATGTAAAGGATGTATATAATACGAGTAACATCAAATATTTCTGTTATCTACCTGGAATGAATAGCAATTGTAGAGGCTGTAACTCACGTTGATTTTCAAATATTTATACCACAGACATGTTATAAACGCATCCGAAGTGAAGCCACGAAAACGTCCCAACTGGGATGTCTCGTCTTTGGTTCACGTTACGCAAGGCGCTGAAAACTGGCAAACACTTACCGTCCTATATTTTCTTATTGCTTTAACTACGCTATCCTTTTTATACCATTCCACATCTATGAGAAAGTTGTGATGAACAAAACGTGTGCATGTGTGCAGTCATTCTGTTTGGTAATTTCACCGGCCTTTCATAACACTTTCGACCGGTAACTTTGTGACCGTATAACATATCTTAATAATGTATAAAGACTGGGCTGATTTTGATTTTTTGTGTGTGTTCAAGAGGATTCCCAATTTCGCCCAATCCTGATACGATGATCATGACGTCTCATTGATTCATTTCATACATACTTACATATTTATTTTTCCAACTACGGAATCCTTGCTTTCTTCAAATTAATTACTGCTCATTTGGGAATTTTTCATGCTGTAAAGGAATCGCACTAGAATACGCCAAGCATTGCTAAAATTAAATTAAAAAAAATTGACGTCGAGGTTTTTTCGACCTTGAGTATGCCGACCTTAGTGCTGTCGACGCCGAAAAAATTTAACAATTTTACACATTTATAAGTTTCGCCTAGAGTGCAAAGTAAAAATTTAGAACGTTGCGTGGAAAAAGTAGAAATAGCTAACGCCAAAATCCTTAAATCAAAAACAAACGTAAAATGTCCCTTGAAAGGTAAGTAACTTACGTGTTCACACAACACAAGTTATCTTTGCCTGTTAATGTTAACTGTTAAGTCTACAAGCTACACGCATCATTAAATCATCCATAAATCCCAAATCCAAACAAACTTCCAACCTAGGGATCGTACTCCAGCCAACTAATTAAGGCATTACTACCTCATGTACTCATTTTAACCCTTACAAATAGTTTAGGATTTATTTATTGAACATATTATTTATGCTCATTACTAAAAACAGTTTAAAACTATAGAACATTTTATGTATTTTTGTGTTGGTTAGTACCTACTTAAGTCCCAACAACCATTGCAACAAAGAGAGATCTATTGTAGTCTTCCCTTCGAAGACTTACATTATCCAGCCTTACTGTATGATTACATTATCCTGTGTTCTAAGGAGGACCGTCTTAACCATAAGGGCACACGGGCCCCGTGCCCAGGAGGACGTTTCGCCGTGTCGTCACCGTGTCGTCATGGCTTACGTATTCGCTTAAACTAAAGAAATTTTTCTCTATTTTTGGTGGATATTCCGACAGATATTTATAGAATAAATAAAAATCAAAAGCTAATAAATAGCAGAAAAATGTTTTTGTCATTCACTTTTTTACTTTCCATCAGGGACCCTTTTTTTTTTTTGGACTGGATGAGCCATTGTTGGCCTTAGGGACTTTTTTTGTTGTATCACTAACAATTACAATATTGTTTTAGTTCTTCAGTAGTTATTTTAGTATTTAAATTAAAACAAATATTTAATACTACAGCAAATATTTAACCTCTTTCTTGACTTACACAAATTTTGCCACTACGGCAAATAAATTATTTTCATCAGTATTAGCAAAAAAAAAACATATATTACTCTGTATCACACTGCTCAAACTATACTGGCCGTCTAAACTAAGTATCACACTTTAGAAAATGCAATTTCTACTATTACTATAGCAGTTAGCATTATGAAATAAAAATGTTTGATTGCATATTTCATCAGTTTTATTTTTAGCTTTACTATTTTATACACCACTAACATACTTAAGTAATAAAAAAAAAATAATTATAACCAGAAAAATTGCCATATTTGACTTTCTGGCAAAAAACCCAACATACTAATTAAGGATCTATTGAGCACCATCTTTCGCCATTCAGAGTACCATTTTCTATGGTCTCTAGCTGTGTGCAGCCCTCCGAATAGAGATGCCAGCCCCCACATGTATGTATCCACCATATTGGACGGTTTATGCAAAGCAGGATTTGATGTATCTCTCCCCAGGTACCCTGTACACTCCGCCTTCCATCATTAGTGAATATTGAGAATCAAGACTCATCTGTGCACAATAATCTTGCCCATTCTTCTTCACCCCACTGTACATGTAATTTAAAATATACTTGTTTTTCAACAGTGTTAACAATTAACTGTTAACTTTGTTAACTGTTAACAACATAGTTAACAATTAACACATCATAAAAAATGCATAAATGTTTTTACAAACTTTTAAACAAAATACATAAACAGTACTTAGAAGATGCAAGATGGTTAAACAAAAAACACCTTTGGCTACATTCACAAAAACATTTATATATAATAATTAACAGCATATCAAATCACACAGAAAAATCATAATTAAATTTTACTATACAAAATGTTCCATGTAGTGCATTCAATTGGCACCCAGTCTTAAATATCCAGAAACTTATTTTTGCATTATTTATGCCACAATAAATTAATAGTTGCAACCCATATTGGTACAAGGAATGGCTACATGTTTTTGGCACAAACCTCAAAAATGAAATGGAACAGAAATCAGTCCAAAATATATTAATACTGTTCAATTTAAAAATAAAATGAATGTTGAAACAATTATGCAAATGGAAAATAATTTACAATGATTTGCAAATGGTCTCCAATGTATTACATTTTTAAGAAATCACATTTTCTTTTTTGAGTATAGTTTTACCCTATTGAACACTATAATTTTGTATAAATTCTTGAAGTCAATGTTGATGCATTTACACTTGACAAAATCAAAAATTTAATGGTACATTTGGCCAATAAATTGCCTTATCCTTATCAACATCGTGAATGAATTGTGACTGTAATGCAATCTCTAAAGCCGATATCCTCTGCCAGTGACTGCCATATAACTCCTTGAGTTTGGCCTGTTTCTCCTCAGTAGTTTCCTGTGGTTCCCGTTGCAAAGATTCTTCCGCTTGTACTCTAGCGCGCAATCGCTCTCGTTCCCTCCTAGCGTCTTCTTTATATTTCGCGTTTGCGGTCAAAAATTGGATGAATTCCTCACTCACTTCAAGCTCATCCTCCTGATCATCTTCACAGTTTTCGTAGTACTGGCTATCTTCATAGATGTCACCCTCCTGGCTATCTTCATACGTTTCAGTCCACTGGCCTAAATTATTAACATGTGTCTCAGTTTCATCCGGTGTCTTCCGTTTATCGATTGAGACATTGTCAACAAAATTATTTTTTCGAATAATTTCATGTAAAATTTCGTTTTCGTATTCCAAGGCCTTTGCTTTTGCTTTCCAATATGCAATCTGGTGTTTTAATTGCCATGTTGCTGCCACAGTGAAATTCTCCGCCCATGTACTCATTGCAGAGAAAAATTTGGGGTTCTTTGTTTTTATTTCTTTTCTACCACTTTTCTGAGTAGCAGCAAACTTTCTTTTACGCCTCCGTCGGGCCTGTTTAGACTGTGTTTTAGTATTATTTTGAGTTTCTTTGTCGGGTACTTGCTGAAGCATTGTTTCATTTATAAGTCAATGTCAATTATCAACCAACTGTCAGTCTGTCAAGTATCCTTAAATAGAAAAAGCAAAAAATGCGTTATCAATTACGGGGCATTACACGTTAAACGGTCAGGTAAGAATGTAAGGTTTACGATTTTAGGAATATATTTTGATTGTATTGTTATTATGTATTTTTGAAATATAAAATGTGCTTAACGATTTGGAGAGCTTTAAAATTTGACTAACCGCAGGTATAATCCTATTACCCAGTATTAAATAGCTATATGAAAATAAATATAGCAGTAAAAATACTTTATTCAATGATTTTACGATTGATTTTTACTTTTAGTGCTAGTCTTCGCAGTCTACACGAAAGATGAAACCTTGAATTGTAAATTTTTGTAGATATTTGATCAAAATTTTTCGGCACTGCGGTATTTGAACCTACGTCTTCGGGTGTGGGGCCCTGACGCTTTACTAACTAAGCTAAGCGGCCAATAACCTCAAGCGGCCAATGGTGGGCAAATTTTAAAATCCGTAAGTATTGTAATGACATCGAACGATTTAAAATAAGAAATTGCCGTTCAATAAAGTATCATCAGGTGAGCCCCTTTTCTCCATAAAAAAAAATATTTTAATACAGAAGCAGAATTTCACTCTTACTCTACCAAGGCCCTTTGCTACTCGCGCCGTGAGAGCAGTTTAAGCACTTATTAATTTCCAGTTGGCTTTCAAAAAAAACCATCATGACAACAGAAACCAATGCTCCTACCTAAAATTTTTAATGATTGGAAAGATGATAAAAGGCATATTTGACTCCTGAGTGATAATATCAGGTACAAACAATACCATGCCTTCATTTCGACTGCTGGTTCTACGTACGGGTAAAAACGAAGATATACAATAGTAGATGGAAGTTTACAGGACGAAGAATGTAATCGGGGAGAACATCATACAAGGAAATTAAATTAAAAACATATTATAAACAATTTAAATACTTTAGGTTTATTTACAAAATTTAACATTATTGTTGATTTTCATTGTATGATGTTCTCCCCGATTACATTCTTCTTCCTGTAAAATTCTCCTATCTACTATCTCTTGTATTCTCTCCCTTTGAAAATATTTTATGTGACTTTAGGTACTAATAAGACAATACTATAAAAAATATTATTTTTTATACGTCGTGCTCTGGCACCTATAATGATATTTAAAATTGGTTGAAAAATATGTCGATTAATTGTGATTTTAACCAGATCAACATACGAACAAATGATTTAATAAATACAATTATGTGAACAACACATTTTGACTGTGCGAGTACTTTTTGTGAAAAAGAGATTAAATGCAAACGGTTCTTGGAATTATAATTGTTAAAAAGTTTTTTGAAGTTATACTTCTTTTGGCGGGTTCGGAAAAATATGAAGGTTAAGAAATTATTAAAAGAAAGAAAAACAAAATTTTTATCCATGCACACGCACACTAACTCTCAAAAAGCGACATGACGCTTGGTACCTAATTTAATCTTGGCGACCTATAACTGAGCTGTGATAGCTTAGTGTTCAGGCGCTCGTCTTTAATTCAATATACTTGAGCAATCCGAGTTCGATCCCCGGTGCCGGCACCAATGAAATTTTTAATTTTAAGTGCTGACATGCTCAGCGATGAAGAAAAACACGTGACGAAACCAAAAATTTTCGAAATAATAACGAAAAAAGATATTTCGAAGATATAAGAAGATCATCAATCCACAATGGGGCTGCATGGCGGACTATGCCGTGATACCCTCAACCCGAAACGCACATGTATAAAACTTCTACTTCAGTTCACTGTATGCAGTACGAAGAAATGGATTTGAATCACTTGAAGTGGTTTCAAGGGATTAGTGGAGTGTTTTGTCTGTGGACCTTTTCCTTCGAAACGTTCAGTCACTGAGCTAAACTACACTACAAAAAACGATAAATAACTAGTTGCCTGATATCTCTTCAAAAGTAGCCAGCAGCCCAGCACTTCATCCGAGTTTGACACATTTCCCTATATACCAAAGTACTCTGTGGTTTGACACATGTCATAATACAATCAATATATGTATGAATTTCTATGTTTTAAAAATTTACATCGACTGAAAAATAACTAAAATTCATACTTTAAAACATGAATTATAATGATTGCTGTCGAACATGTCTACAAAAACACGAAGAAATGCGCCATTTGCATGCAACGATAGTAATTGCCGGTAATCATGTTCGATTATCTGATATTTTAATAAACTTCTACAATTATAAGGTAAATATCAATAAAATTTTGTAAGTTACTTTTTTAACTTTCATTTTAGTCCTCTCGTTCATTCTTCAGATATCAGGTGAAATGTTACTACCGGAGAAAATTTGCATCAACTGTGTCCACCAACTTACCATTACGTATTCCTTTAAAGTTCTCATAGAATCGAGCGCGAAAAGGTTAGCAGAAAGTAATTTGTTAGATTCCTCCACGAGTGAAAATTATGATTGCAGTTTGGAATCGGATGACCAAAAACTCGATAAAGCATTTCAAAGGCGACCCGCCAAGAGAAAGATAGCGAAAGCACAGAATTCAAATAACGACAGCGAAACAAAAGATTTATATTGTGTAGAATGTAAAGCTATATTTAATTCTCCTATGATTTTACAAGAGCATTGTGTAAATCATCATCCAGTTAAAAATTCCATTGGAAGAGATTGTGATTATTGCAATGAGAAATTTGAAGATTTCAGGTCTCTGGTGCTACATAGAAAGTTACATATTAAGCCATACCTGTGTGAAAATTGTTGGGAGGGATTTTATAACACTAGTGACTTGCACACACACTGCTGTCAACCAAATGTAAGTAGAAGTGATAAAATAAAACCAGAGAAATCATTACGCCAATGTGATCAATGTGGCAAGTCTTACCCACCAGGATACATACGAATTCATATACTGACACACAGTAATGACCGACCCTACAGTTGTAAATATTGCCCAAAGAAATTTAAAGTGCCTGGTGGTCTGCATTCTCATGTCCTATGGAATCACAAGAGAACTAGAAACCACAAATGTGAAGTTTGCAATGCCACATTTATATCATCCAGCTCCCGTAGTTCCCACATACGTAAGAATCACCTAAAAGAAAAGAAATATGGCTGTGATAGCTGTGGTAAAAGGTTCTTTTCAAAATCAGAATTGCAGAGACATTCCTTAACTCATACTGGCGTTAAGAATTTTCAATGTCATTTGTGTATCAAATCATATCAGACGAGATATGGGTTGAATGTACATTTAAAATCTCACTCCGAAATACCATCGAATGAATTAGTGTAAATTTTTTAACCAACAGAAATAGACTGTAAGTACAAAATATTGTTATGATCTCAGTTTTTATATGTTATTATTTATTGATAAAAAAATTAACATATTATTATATACCTATAAAAGTTTGTCATTTACTGCCTCCAGTTTTATTTTAGACTCATATTTGCTCATAACCGGGCAAGTACAAGTCGGACATCAGAAGTTTAAAACTTTTACTTCATGCTCATTTCAGTAAAGGTTGTGGTACTTCCCCGAAGACTGTTGTGTGACCCTTCCACTGTACAAAAACTATTTTATGTAAGGTGCATTCGGCGAATTCCGTAAATCGGGATATTTTGATAATCACAATTTTTATTATGAAATATGGCAATAATTTTGCTCTGGCAAAACGTTCACCTTTTTTTTGTTGACGTGGGGGAAATGCCTACGCATAACCGCCCTTGCGGGTTATGTCGGACTCGCACCGACTAAAACCCCCACGATGTTACACCTAGGCGCATATCGGTAGGGTCACGGGAACGCTTTCGCACACTTCCGCGACCGTGCCAGCGCTGGCCGCCTTAGCAGCCCCCTCACGGGGAGCAACTCCCCTCTCCTCCAGGTAAGGCGCGCTGGAACATTCAGCGCGCCTTCCTACTCGGCCCCATTTTCACGGCCAACGAACTCCCCCGAGTTCGCTGACTGGGGCCATGGGAGCCAGGAGAGCCAGTGCTAATAAGCAGCAAGCCTCCTAGCCCCCAGCGCCGGACCTGGTCTGTGGCTCCGCCGCTCACCACGTTTCGGCCGCGGAGGATAGCCATCCACAGCTGCATCAGCGTTGCAGCCCCGCTGAGTCGCGGAGGATAGGGAGCACGGCCAACGCAATACCGACACTCCTCTTCCCCCGCGACTCCTCCTCGGCAGCAGAAGACAGGGAGAGTGGCTCCACCTCTACCACCCTCGACCTGTCCCCTGCACCCTCCAGCACGCATCCAGAGTAGGCTCATTGAGCCCACTCGGAGCGGCCCTCTCGGGCCGGCCTTACACCACAGGCCGGCCCAGTGTGGGTTCCTCTTAGCTTCGCCGTGGGGGACCAAGCTACGGCTACTAAGCCCCTCCGCCACGTCAAGGCGGGAACCCGGTCGGAGGGGTGGCAACGTTCACCTAGCCTATCCTAAGATGTCTGTTTTTATTAGCTTTCCTAAGACACCAAACTGTTGAAAATGTTATTAATGTATTAACAAATAAATGCAGATGGACATTTACAATTACAGAACAGGCTTTTTCACCGCAACCCAATTTTTGGTTTTGTGATATATAGTATGTGTAAACATACTATGTTTAAAATTATCAAACACATTTCTGAATTACCCGAATAAATTGATGAGTTTACAACATACCTATGAATTGACATTCCTTGCACATCAGTAATTTGATTATAAATTGTACATATATCTTTTTACAACTGCCAGCCAACCATAACAACTGCAAAAAAAGAGCATTCATGACCGATTTGTATAGTGGATGGGGAACCTGCCTATTGCATCAGAGGGTGTGGCTTTGATCCCAACAACTGGAAAAATATTACATGATGAACAATGTTTTTCTAGTATTTAACTATTGGTATATGTAAATATATTTATCACAAGTATTCATACTGCAAGCTTTGTTTGGTTTGGAATTAGATTGTAACACAAAAAATATGTTCTGTAATATTTATTATTATTTAACAATTGCCTTTGCCTAACTGCGCGAAAATGCTAGATGTTTTAAGGGGATCTCCAAAAATTTTAACAAGTGTAAAAATTTCCATCATCATTTCATTGTTACTTGACAGTAGTTACCCAGTAATTCTTATAAATTAAACATCTGGCCTCTGGTATCCAACTTTCAACCCTATTAATACGACAGCAGCTTAAAGTATTCGGCAAAAGAAAATTGCATGTCAACCTTTAGAAATAGTCAATAGACTAATTTCGACTTTGTATACTGTTAACTGCATTGTGTTGGTGGCAACAATATGCTATACGTAACAAGTAAACTGATTTTAGACTAATATTTCTATTTTATTAGATGGACTAGGCGGCGGCTATCACTTAACACCAGTAAACCATAATTAACCATAACGTTGTCATGTTACCATATTCAATTTTCGTTATTAAAAACAAATACTTTGACAGCGGTTATGATTGGCTACACCTAAATGTTACTTTTGGAAAAATTCAATTAACTTTTTCAAAAATTGTGTGGAAAAGTTTTTGAAGTCAATGTACCTACTCAATATTGAATTAAAGGCGAGCGTCCGGACACTGAGCTATCACGGCTCATTCAATTATTCAACTTATTTTCTTTTTCTAGTCAAGCAACCCGAGTTCGATCCCCGGTGCCAGCACCGATAAAATTGCTAATTTTAAGTGCTGAATTATCACGTGCTAAGCAGTGGAGGAAAACATCGAGAGGAAACTGCATATTTTCAAATAGTAACCAAAAAAATATTTTGTAGATTTATTTTGAAGTTCCCTCTGAAAATTGGCCCTTGCCCAGTAGTAGGACCTGTACAGGCTGATACTTTAAGATGAATAATTCGTAAATAAGCTAACAAAGTTAAATAGCAAGAAAAATTAATCATATAATTTATTAACATTACATCAAAAACAAATGGATTAATGTTAAAAACGTAAATTATGAATTTGAGGTTCAATGGTAATTAAAATGGAAGTGCAAGAATTTTTATTAAGTTATAAAAGGGCTTAGTAAAAATGAATAACAAATAACTGATTTTCATTTTGAGAAACTTGCTTTCTTTAAATGAAGTATTGTAATTAATTTGATGATATAATGTAGATGGTGACTGACTTAAATATCTAATTTAATTATAAAATGAAATAAAGCTGTTTGATTTAAAGAAAATGTAATGGTGAGATTTTATATAAACATAATGGGTTTTACATTTAATTAATCATTACAATAATGTACTAAAAGTTTAGCAATAATGAAATGATTCGGTTTGTTAGGATAAAATGTAAAAACAACAATGAACAACAGATTAACCACAACATACATCATTTGTAGAATTGTGTTTCTTTGAAACTAGTTCTTCCTTTGAAAATGGATACTAATGTGTAAAACCTGTATCTTAATATAATATCAGTGTAGTTTTTGATAGCATAAATATATAGCTTTTACATGCATCCACATTTTACTGATGTTTTTGCCTTAACAAAATCATTTTTATAATGCAAAAGTTGCTCAAGCTCAATGTATCAATATATTTATGGTTGATTTAAATAAAATATACAGACAAAGTGTTAACCTGCGATGGGGAAAAAAACCTTTAACAGAAAAAAAAAATAAGCAAATATAGTAGAATTTTTGAAAGATATAAATTATATTTTATTTTAATCATTATGCTGCAACACTTACTTTAACATTATGTGAATTGATTAAAAGTAATTCTCGAATTAAAAAAGGTATCTTTTCAGGAACAAAGCAAGTTTTCTTCATTGTTTATGTTACATTTATGGAGTGTTGAGTATTAGTGTTAAGTATTACCTTAATCTGTAGAAATTGTCCATAAAAAAGAGTAACTGTACCACATAGTGTTAGATTTTAAAGAAAGCGCCAAAAATTCTTAGACCATTCGCTACACTAGGTTCAATCAATTGACCATTCAGGATTTTCTATTAGAGCCATTTCGCTCATTTATCAAACCCTTATCACATACATTTTGTTGACACTTTTAAGGTAAAAACATGAAATATTACTACCTATACTCTACACTCCACAGTTACAATATACATATAACAAATTCGCAATATATCTGTGATAAATAAAAATACAACATTACATACTTTTCTACAGAAAATCACATTTCAATTTCAATAGTAGACAAATCTACTAACATGATGACATTGTGTCTAAAATTTACTTTAATAAAAAAATAGCAATGTTACGAAACTTCGCATTTTATTTACAGCCATAAAAGGTTACGAGCAGTACCTTAATAACCTATGTGGTGGCATCATTTTGGCGGGAGATTTATTTTATTGCGTGCTATAGAAAAATACAAAAATATCACTCCATTCCAGTCTCTATGATGTGACAAAAATCAAAATCTACACCACATACATATAAACACTAGGCAAGTAAGGCCCACACTGTTTTCGTTACGATAGATATTTGTATTCCATTATATTCGAGTGTAACCTGAAATGGGAAAAAATTAATATTATCTATTTTGTTGATCCATACTGAAAATAAAAATGTCTTATTTTCAATGTATGTAGGGCGCATCTGTGTTATAATATAAATATTTAAAGAAAGAAATCATGTAATGAAATCAATCACAGGATATGTATTAGAAAGACAACAAGTAAAGAAATAAATCATGCAATATATATATATATATATATATAAATCAATAAATAATAAATATATATATATATATATATATATATAAATCATAAAGTATCTATTAATGATGTAAATTCCGCAGGGTCCCCCATGAAAATGGGTGTCCCACAAGGATCGATCTTGGGCCCATTATTATTCTTAGTATATATAAATGATCTCCCCTTTTATGCCAGTGAGTTATGTGATGTTATTAAACAGAATATTAATAATTATCAAAAGAATAGTGACAGACATAAACTAAATACTAGAAATAAGGACAAACTAACTACGCCATTATCAAAATCAAAATCAAAATCAAAATATATTTATTCAAATAGACGCTTGCGCGCTCTTATGAATCGTCAAATTTTACATCAAAGATTATGTGTATAGGTTCGTAAGGTACCAAATTTAATTCGTAAGGTACCATTATTTCGCCTACAAAAAGTAAACAGATCGTTCATGGGGCAAAGTGTGCGCATGTATAATAAAATCCCACAGTCGATGTTAAGTCTGCCACTTGAAGAATTTAAACGAAAAATTAAAAGTACACTTATGGCTAAAGCCTATTATACTATTGCCGAATATCTTGACGACGCCAATGTGTGGGGTTAATGCTGTTGATACTCACGTAGGCTAAAACAAGACTATTGTACCTGTACTATTATATTGTAAACTGATTTTTTAAAAAAGAGCAACTGTTGAGTTTCTTGCCGGTTTCTTCTCAACAGAAACTGCTTTCCGAACCGGTGGTAACTTACGAACGTGTTAATTTCTTGTAAAATTTTGACGTTTCATAAGAACGCGCAAGCGTCTATGTGAATAAATATATTTTATTATTATGGGGTGATATTCATTTGTCTTCTCGTCTGGTTGGGTTTATAAATAAAAATAAAAATATAGATACATATTGCATAAAATAAATAAATTTGTATTTTATATTAATATTTTTTATAATGTATAAAATAAATTTTATGAATAAAAATAGAATGAATAAATTATTATTATTATTATTATTATTAATGTATAATATTTATACACATTTAACAATACTTTCGTAAACTGCATCATATAAATGTTAAAATTTAATTATTACTGTAATTTGATTATTCCTATGTTACTATTTAACAAATGCAATCCAAAAATATATTTGTGTAGTTGTATACATCAATACTTATATCACAATATACATTCAAAAGATGCCTTTTGCAATAAAGAAATTTTATTCACGTAAAATGGAGGCTTAAATGAGAGCTGCCAGAAACTAGCATTTGGATTCATTGCATGCACTATTTGGTTTAATATGACTATTTTCCTATATTGGAATAAAAATAATAAATTGAACGTAATATATATTTTGTAACAATTTATGCATGACAAAAAATGATATTTATAGTAAATGTATTTAATAAATGTTTATAAATGTGTGTAATAAAATGATATTTAAATGACAAGCAAACAAAATTTAGAAGTAGATTGTTCAAGAATAAACTCAATGTGGTATTCAGGGATGACTTTTTATTATACTAACAATTCTATTTATCTGATTTCTATTTAAACATTGTTTGCTCACCCTCAGATCTAGATCTGTTTTTGAAGATGATTGGTAGGTAATATTACATTCATTTTATATGTGTATAATTTATTTGAGGGGGAAAATATTTACTAAGTTAATATAACATATGTGCTATTAATAAAATCTGTGTACATCTGTGTTATCTAAAAAAATCTACTTAGCAATTTCTAAGCAAGACAGAAAAGCCATTAATTGTAATAACAAAGGCCAACTAAGCAATAACTAAAAAGAAAGAGAGAAAGGATTGAAGAGGCTCATATAATTAGTTATTACAAGTAGAGCAAGATCCCAGGGTCTCTAGACTTCACGCATTTTCTGACGAACAAAATGTTTATGATGAGTAGTGTTAGTATGTACTAAGATAGCATGGCTACCTGCCAACTTGGTCAATGGGCCAATTTCCAAGTATCAGGTAATCAAGTTACATAAAAACATCACTTACCTTACTTGAATTCTCCAAGCTGATTTTTAAGTACATTTCAGACTATATCGTTAAAAATAAGTCATGTAAATTGGTTTGCAGATGCTTTAAAGGTATCAAAATAGTTAACATCACGTAAATTCTGACACTCTTTGTATTGTATTATTATACATATATTGATTACTTGATATCTGGCCCCACTGACCAAGCTAGCAGGTAGGCATGCAATTGTGCTACATACTAACACTACTCAATCATTTCGTTCTTCAGAAAAAACGTGACTTCTGGTGGCCCTGGTATCTTGGACTAAAGTAAATATTGCTATGCTACACATACAAGTGCCTCTTGTACTAACAAACTGTACTAATAAAATAAAAAAAAAATAAAAACCATGCTCACACCAATTTCAACAATTCATAATCCATTTTTTTCATTAGAAAATTTTTTTTATAGGTTCATAATATACTCTGCACAACATAACAGAAATTATGCATGCTTTCAATTGAAAAAATAAAAGAAGGAAATCTGACATTGAAGTGTTAACAATACATTCTATTGTTAGGGCCTTTGTGAATTGTCAAAACCATCTTAACACAACACTATCACAACAGAACCGAGCGCTGGGGTGCACTGATATAACAGCTAGAATAATCACCGCTCTCAGAAATTCATATCGAGCCCAATCTGATACATAACTTCGTCCATCTCCGGGGCAAACAGCACTCGCCGCTCGTTAGCGTCGTTTCCATTACCGTTTACGGTGGGGGCCATGGTCGGCCCGTTTCCTGAGTGCGAAGGGGCTTCGGACCGCATCTGGCTCAAAGACTCCTCGTCTGACTGGCTGCCATCAGACTGCGGTGGACAGCCAACTGTAGGTAGACCAATAATCACCCTGATCTGATCTGTTAGATGAGGCGCCGACACAATCTGATGGTATATCCCCTCGGCAGTGCTGAGGATCTTATCCACCTCCAAACGCATCGATAGGTCGTTCACATGCTGAAAATTTATAAACGAAATCGTTTTTTAAATTTCAATAATAGTAGCGTAAGCTAACACTAAGTGAGGAAACATATTCTGGCACCGTTTTTTTGAAAATACTATTTTGGAGCACAGAACTGCATTCAATCATTTTGTGTGATTGTTAGAATATAAGTTTGAATAAATTGATGATACAATTCCTAAATAAAATATTTTCTTAGCCAATTTAAAACCACAATCTACAAAGAAAATAATAATCAGTTTTAAAATGTCTGAAAATTTCAACTAGATACAACTTACTTTTAGTATTTCTGTAAAGCCATAATCTTTACTTATGAGAATATCCTTCTCAGCGTCGAGTATTGCTACACATATCAGTAAATGAAAATTAGCACACGGCAAACCGGTCCAAAGCACTTCCCATAGCCTGAAATTTATAGCACTTTATTCGAAAACGGAACTGAAAAAGTATCAGGTAAAATTGTAAAACATACCTGTAATCCTTAAAACCATAGCAAAAAATTTTAACAATTTCATCAATTACAAATTTGTAGTCACTTGTCTGCGTTTAATTTAAATTAATAAATGATATATACCTCATGATATCACGATAGGAGAACTCCCGTTTAAACCACACAAGTAGCCATCGGAAGCAGAAGTACATGTTTCCAGAATCCTTTTGGGACAGGTGTTGGGCCAGCTCGGGACTGGCGAATGTCAGGAGCTGTTGCAGGTGTAGCAATTGCTGCTTCATGCCCGCTTGGTCCATGTCGAAGTTGGGCGCCTGGAAATTTCGTTAATACTTTTTTAAACAATGAATTTCAAATGACAGCAAATGTGTCAGAATTTCAGGCTTTAAAGGATTCATGAAATTCTAGTCAGGTGTTTTTCGTAATCCGTTGCTACTATTAATAGATAAAAAAGAAAAAACTTAGTTACAGTTTTTTTTCGTGGCTCTTTAACCAATCTTACTACTATATATGAGCGATGTGAATTCATCAGAAAGACATATAACACAAAAATCAGGACAGATGGAAATATTAAGTTTTAATTAAACAAATGGGTAAATTTTTGAAATTAGTCGCCTTCGTACGGGGTTCATATCCCTTCACCCTTGCCGCTTGCCACATTCACACATAAAAAAAAGAAACTCACAATTCGCTCCATGAAACCGGCGAAGCACCAGAAACTGTCCACCTCGTTGCCAAGCAAAAGCAACAGCGGAGCAAGAATGTCGCTCATCCCTTGCACGTAGCCCAAATCGAAATTGTACATCACATAGGTCATCAGAATGTCTTGCAGCACCACCAAATTCGGATTGTTGTCGCCCGCAAAGAATGGATGGGTCCGGTCTGTTCTGTTCACGTCCTTCTCCACCAAACTCTTCCGGTCCCTGTACTCAGAGAACCTGGCCTCCTGACCCTCTGTCATCGACCTCCATTGCAACTTCATCGAGAAGTACTCTTCAGTCTTACGTCTTTGCAGGTTCTTTATCTCTGAATGACTCATGCTCCATGGATGGTAATCTAAGAGGTATTTCCAGACTGAGTGTCTTATCGAATGAGCGACACCCTGGGAATAAGGATGACTTTGAGTAAATTAAATTTTCAACATGATAGGATGTAAAAACAAGTGCCGTAAGCCATATCGTTTTTTATTGAAGTTATAATTCTTTTGGTGGGTTAGGGAAAAAATTATGAGTCAATTTTCACTCATGTCACGAAAAACCGACACTGAAGTTAGCTAGACATCTATGTATGTTTTTTTCTTAACAAAACATTGCCTTGACTTTAGGATAACTTTATCCTGTGTTGTAAGGACGTTTTACAAACATAAATTACATGAGGACAAACACCCACATGCGAAACAACTATCTGTGGGTCGCACAAATAGTTGTCCCGTGTGGGAACCGAACCCACGACCCCCGATGCCGTAGCCAATACCTTGGCAATTGCGCCATGGAATCATCAATGTTTGCGTGAGAACTGACAACTGTATTCACGATATTTATTATGTGATATTTAAATCAACTTTATTTAACTAGATAATGTGTTATAATAAAACTTTTAATGTATTAAATACCTTTTTTCTATTTTTAGTGTCTACAAACGTAGAATGAGGCGAAAGATAAAATTTTTAAAAAAAATTTATCTTGTTACGCCAAAGAAGTATAACTTCTAACGCATGTACATAAGTACACACATGTTTAATTACTGACTAGTTTCTTGGTGGTAAAAGAAAACCATCATCTCCAAAATAATTTAGAAAAGCACGAGGGTCATGTAGCATACAATTCCCTAGCACACTGTTTAGTGATCTAACAATGTGGCTCATATATATAGGCTGTACAACTACTTTTAAATATTTCTTTATTGAAGGTATACTTCTTTTGGCGTGTTAGAGAAAAATGGTGGGAGTAAATTTTACGATGCGCGCGCACACCGTCACGAAAAACCGACACCCTGAAGTTAGCCACTCAAACTTCGACTTTATAACAGCTGTCATAGGGTCCGCCATCCAAAATATCCATTTCTTTAATTATGTAAAGATATTTTTTTTGTGTTATTTAAATAAACTTTATTTAACTAGATAATGTGTTACAATAAAACTAAATAAAGTATTAAATACTTTTTTTCTATTGTTAGTGTCGTTTTTTCTACAAATGTATAATAAGGCGAAAGAAAACATTTTTATCTTGTTAGCCAAAGAAGTATTAACTTATAACGCAAATAAGTTCACACACACTTTTTTTTTGGAATCATCTTATAGAAAAATTGTTCTTTTTGACCATTGTGGATCTATACAAATGTTGTGGGGTGTAATTTATCATTTACATGTAAATATCTAGAGCAGTGATTCTCAACCTTTTTTTTGTTGTGGCACATATTAAACGATTTCAAAATTTGGCGGCACACAAAGAAAAAGATAAAAATTATTTACTTACTACAACACACTGCATAAATAGTTTATGATAAAAATTTTAAATATACGAAATAAACTAATATATATTACAATAATAACTAAACGTTTATTAAGAGATTAATTACAAGCTGAAAATAAAAATATTTTTAATGCGAAATTTGAGCTTGATGTTTTTTGATAATTTCATTTATATTTGGTCGTAAAAATGACAATGCTACTCTCATATCGTCTTCTACATTTAACAATCTTGATTTTTTTTAGTTTTAATGTTGGCTAATGCCAAAAAATAGTTTTCTTTTTAAATGATATAATTTAATAATATTAACATTATTATATATTAAAATATGTAGAAAAAGTGCGAAAAGATTGTCGCCGTTGTGGGAATCGAACCCACGTCTTCGGCATTCGCGGCCTGACGCTCATTTATATATTTGCAATTATTTATATATTATTTAATTATTATATATTTGCAAAATTTGGCGGCACACTTTTGAAATTTGGCGGCACACAAAAGTGCCGCGGCACAGTGGTTGAGAATCACTGATCTAGAGCTTTATAAACATATATTTAAATGGCAAATGTATTATAAACACTTACCCCTCTAAATATAAGTTGTTTCACACCATCTACCTCAGTCACTCTTCCCTCTGTGTCCTGCAAGCCTTCCCACTTTTCAGTGGACAAGGGGGTGCCCCTGTCCCAGTTGAAACAATGTTAACATTGTCATAATGCTAATAAACATTGTTATTTGGACTCTACATAAGAATTGTATTGATTATGCAGGGTGATTTAGACGAAGTACATACTATGAAGTACTTCTAAGATTCAGATTTAGAATCAAATTCTGCATATGCTGTGTTAATTTGTTCGTCATCTATAAAATCACCCTGTATTTTTGTCTAATAAAAATTGACTAGAAGAAACATGTTGGTTCCGCTCTGTATTTCATGAAAATGGCATGGAGGTAGTCATAGCCAAGTGGCTGGAACATGGAAATTGTTTTATAGTCGGGGTGTAGTCCTATACCATAGGTCAATGAGTTTTCCATTTCTTATGTTACAATTTAAAGAGAATGATTTTCATACAACATTATGGCAAAATCTATCATGTTACGAAATAAATTAACAAGGTGGAACAAGGATAATAATAACCTTAATAATAGTAGAGTTAATATAAAAAGCTAAATTTGCTTCAAATCAACTCATTTTTTTACTTGTAGTTTCGCTTAAAATATCTATCACTGTTGGTGTATTCCAGATGGATTTGCTACTTAAAATATGTATTGTCTATATTTTTAAGAAATTATTCCCTAGTGTGGAAATAAGATTGCGATGCAATTGCTTTTTCATTTAAAAAAACTATATTCTTTTTTAATTAAGCATTTATAGCAGATCAATTTAGCAGCAGAGAATATCTATAGCACATTTAAATTATTGGAATGAAGTTTGTGAGCGAATTAAAAAATGGATGAAGTTTATCCCCACTTCGAGCATTGATGCCACATATTCGCGCCGAGACACTTTAACTACTAAGCTAAACGGTTGATTTCCACACCGACGAAAATCTCAATGTATTATATCATTATTTTTCGCATTTTGAAGCAATGCTTTGCGCATCTATTGTTGTCCTTGTTGCACACAAACAATATCAAATTCGAATGAAATAAAAGGTGTCGCATTTCTTCTACGAATTTTAGTGTTTTATCTTAAGTGCAGAGATTGGCACTATACAAATTTTATATAAATTTTATTTTAATTAAAATGATAATTTTTACCTAGGTATACAAGGTCGCGGAGGGAGGGTGGGTTTCACGCTTATAACTTCGTATTCATCACTCTTGGCAACTGTGGTTGCGTCCTCCATGGCACTCATGCTTTTTGTCAACAAATCTGCCACCTCCTCGGATACATCCCTTTTACCGTTTAATGCCTCATTGCCAAAGTACACTGGAATTGGTGGAGTAACACCTATATAGTTGTTTTGTTACATGAAATAGATGACATAAAATTTAACTAAATACTGAGACTACTTGTAAACATATGTCCCTTAAAATGGACTTTAACTTATCATCATAATATTTTATAAAACTATATTGAATATACAGGGAGGCTTTTCTAAGTGTATACATTTTTTTTATTAAATCTAGACATAAATAATGTTATATAAAATGATAAATATTTTAAATCACTCGTAAGTAATTAATTACATTCATTTGAACTTATCTAAAAAAAATGCGTGATTTATACGCAACTCATTTATTTTACGCGCGATTATTTATAACAACACGCAAACAAGTTCGTTTGTGTGCGTGAACAGTAAAATTTAGGTATTTATGAATGACTACCGTGTTGTCAAAAAGTTCTGTTTTTTTAGGGAATAGAATGGTATTCTTTTTGAAAAAAAAAACGTTTGTTTTTATTTCAATAAACGATTATACTATTGAGTCTGAACCTCCTGTGTAAATTTGGGCACCTTTAAAAAAGTCTCTCTGTATGTCTATGATGTATATATCCATAAATATTAAATAAAACAAATTAAATTATTTATAAAATGCAAGGTTTTAAACTATAATAATTGATAATTTATTCATATATAAAAATAATACAGAAATCTAATTGCTATAGTTCTTACATCTAAAACTCACCACCAGGGTGTTCAGTACCTTGGTTGCAACACAAAGATAAACAATGTTTACAAGTCCCCAGGCTACACCTTTATTATTTTAGATATTAAGTTACACCTTTTACTCAAATAAATACTAGCTATCAAGATGGTCAACATATAAACTGATTACCACATGCACCTTTTGGCAAGTGGATTAATTTTTACACATTCACATGATTTATGGACAGAACTAAAAATACCTTAATTAAAAAGAGGTTCAGTGCTGATTGACATCTCTGGGTGCCAATGTTAGTGGAAAAATAGTTAGAATCCTTCATAGATTATTCATATAAATGGTAAATGAATAATCAGAAACAATACAGCATCAGAGATGAATAGTTTGGCTAATATAGTTTGAAAACAATAGTGTTTTAGGGAGTACTGATTGAGAACATATAAAATACTCTTACCAATATCAGTGAGCTTTGAGAATGCCTCCATTGTGGTCTCATATGGTCTCTGCCTCAAATTAGAGACTAAACTCCACACAACATCCGTTGGGTTCTCCGTAAAGATATCCAACTCTGCAAAGGATCTGTTCAGCACCTGTGTCTCTGTATTAGGCTCAACAATAACATATGTATTCCTGTCATGTCTCGTTTTGGCGGTTTTCACGTGGTTCTTCAGATAGGCAACAAAAATCTCTGCATTGCCATGTTGGAAATAGAAGGACATCTGCCATACTCCAGGTTTTGTTGAGAACTGCATTTGCTGGTTGTTGCGAGAGACACGGAAGGTTTTTAGATCGTCTATCGGTATTCTGATGATACGAGCTCGAGCCGTGGCATAGTCTGACGTCATATTACCGCTAAGTGTTCGCTGTCGACGTCCTGGAAGCACAATTTATTTACGACAAATATGTTATAGTCACTGAATATAGATAGATTAGATAGCTTTTAGTAGAGAACAAATTACACATGTTGACTGGATGCAGCTTGAGGTAAAGCATATGTTCACAAGTGGAATAAAGCAGTCAAACGCCCATCAGGGTCACGGTTCGCACCGAACCTTGATGGCCCATAGACGATATGTCATATTTAACACATGCATGAGTACATGTGTGGCCCTACCCACTGAATATGGGCTCAAACCCATGGGTTCTGGCTAGCCCACCGGTTCTGCGTTTGAAGAAGCTTTAAAAGTCTAAGGACTGAAATGGGTACCATCAGTTATATAAAAAACAAAAAAGTGGAACAACCTGCAGCCTGGTATTATGAAAATCTAAAATTAAAGTATGTAGAAAAAGTACGATAAGATTGTCGCCGCTGTGGGAATCGAACCCACGTCTTCGGCATTTGCGGCCTGTCACTTTAGCCACTAAGCTGAACGGCTGATTGCCACACCGACGAAAATATTAACGTCTTTTATCTACTGTTTATTAGCATTTGAAGCAATTGATTTTTGTTATTATGGAATTTAGGTGTACAATAATATTCAGGAAATATGTTTTCTTGTATACAAACTTATATGGTGTTTTACATGTGGTGAAAAACCCTATCAGTAAATTCTAAATAACCTGATATAACAATTGTATTGAACAGGTAATTAGAGTAATTTAATGGCTGTTGAATAAATGTTTGTGAAATGATGTTTTTGTAATTGCAACCAATTTTTACTTGATGTCATTTTTTGTATACTTATTTAATAGAAAATTAGCTCACATAAAGTTATGTTACAGTACACCTTTATAAAGGTATGAGTTAATACTCACCAATAGTATTGACAACAGCCCATTCCTGGTCTTGGGTGTCAGAATCAATAGTAATCAAGTCATTTGGTCTCCACTCAATGCATTTTGTGCCATCAGCATTCTGAACAATGCAGAGCATTCCAATGCAGTTGAGCTCATTGATTGAGCGTCCAATACAGGCCTTGAGAAGTACTCCATCTTGAGTGAATAGATCCTGGAAGATCAGATCAAAGTTCAGCACTTTGTTTTACCTGCCTGGGTGACATTTGTATGAGATTTTTGAATGAGAGTAGCTGAGAAAATTTGAGAAATTGAAAAAAAAGTTCACACAATTTTAAATGAATACTGTCTATAGATTCTACAACCCAACTAGGATTGCAGTTTCATTCCCAAACATCGTGGTTATCCAATTGCTAGGTAGTAGGTGAAATATACACAAATACTTCTACTTAACAAAGGTGTTGTAAGACTTGCCACATTTCCAATACTATGGGAAATCTTAAATCTTTCTTTTAAGTACCAACCTAAAAATGTAAAGGTTGCATTAAATTTCTTTAAATTAATTTAAATATTATTTGGTATCGTTCCTGCGTAATGGCAAACACAACAGTATTGTTAAATTTATGACGCAATAAATAAAACACAATAAACCAAAATATATCTTATATATCGTAAGACGTAGCGCTAGTGCGTTTGACATACGTATGGTTGCTTTACATTTTCAATAATATGTAGTAAGGAGAAAACAAAGTTGGTTTGATTATCTCACCTTACATTGGTCTGGGATATCTTCAACTGAACTCGAGGACATTTTGTTTACAATGCACAAAAAAGGAGCAATAAAACATTGATACTATTGGTAGCAGAGGTACAGCATTAAATTCCAAATTTACAATTACATTACATTTAACGAAATTATTTCGACAAAAAGTAAACAACAAAGCAGCATTTTTTTTTTTATTATTAACAACGAAAGTGTGTAAAAACAGACGAACGAAAGAAATAGGCAGGGTTGCTGATGCCAGTTTATCAAATTCCCTAATATGTCATTAAAATTTCCCAAATTAGGGAATACCCTTGAATGGTAGATGTAGCTAATAGGATCACTTTCAAGCCGAAAAGACACTTAAGGATTGATAAGAAAACTATTTAGGTCAACTTTAACATTTTGAATTTATTTTTAACGAAACGTAATCATTATGGAATTTATGTAAAATACAAGAGTTATGATAGATACTTCTTTAAACAATTTTTACGGAATCATTCAAATACGACACAATTCAGTCTGAACAAATAAAACTAACGTTCATATTTAATTTAAAGTAATTCATACATAATACATAAACCAAACAGGTCAGAGTTAACATCAAAAGAGTATGTATAATCTGAGATTACCAATCAACAAATACAAATCTGCTTACTCCCCTTACTCACTACACCATCCACAACGATCCTGCTACTGCCAGCCATAGACTTCAGGACTAACTAAACGCAACTCACAAATGGATGTGCAATTGGCATATACGTGCTAGTGCAGCAAACTGCAAAGTCTACCTACATCACATTGACCTTGAGTTGAGAAAATTGTCCCCCTGTAAGACTCGGTAACGATATCTTACCGCACTCGGACTTTATGAAATACCTTTCCACCTCGATAGGCGCCTCACATGGAAGCACCACATTAAACAAAAGAGAGATCAAGTCAACCACCAGTATCGTCGTTTGTACTGGCTCATGGAAAAAAAAACTCTGTACTATGGATAGACAAAAAGCTTCTTATCTAAAATTCGGTGTTAAAACCAGTTTGGACATACATGGACTATTACAAGCTGAGGGCAATGGTCCACGCTCCTTGGTTGTCAACAAATGATGAAATTCATCAATATCTGAACGTGCCGACTGTCATATCTGAGATCGGACAGTAGGTACAGAAAACAATACATAGAGCAGTTATCCTTAAACCAAAATCCACTCGTAACATTTTTGCTGTGGTGGTCAAGAGACTTAAACGGGATTACCTTATTTAATTAGTAGAGCCGGCGTTGGCTACCCCACCAGAAAAGCCAAAAAACATCACGCAACAAATTTACATATCTCTCAACTCCCCAAGTCATATAAAATCGAATCCTTCGCAACCGGCATCCCGTGGTATATACGGAACGCTGAATTGCATCCACCATCCTAAAATCAGTACTCCTCAATACATATAAAAAGAACTTTCATAATGTTATTAAGACTTTTAAAACGAACAAACAATTCAAGTCATTCGAATCTATATAATCGATAGATTGGAAAGCTTTTTGCTTTCGAACCTATCCAACACCTGTTCATACCGTGTAATCAAGACGGCCGCGGCTTCATTCTAGAACCATTTTAGAAGATATCCTAGATCCGATACTAAATTAATGTGATACAAGGATTTAGCGATAGAAACTAAATTAGTCAATGATCAACGCCAAGCCATCGTTCTTAGCGTACTCGGCCATTCCTCCATACAGAAATTTATGAAAGGTTTACGTCCTAGAGATATTGCGCGGGTATGAACAAATTTTTTTCTCGTGCAAAGCCAGAAAATGCAGCGACCTTGGCACCATGCCTGGTGAACAGTTTATTAGTTAATATATAGTTAGATTTACGCCCGGTTTCTGAAAGTGTTTCAGAAACCCGGCGTTAATATTGTAAATATTTTTTGTTAATTAATAAACTTATTGGATATTTTTCCCAATTACATAGTAAAGTGCAGTATTTAGATTAATCCATAGGGAATGAACTTCTTATATATAAATAATAGTTTTAAAATATATTTAAATATTTTAATTTATAGATCTTTTAAAACTTGCTATTTCCAGGAAAAGAGAATATTGACAAAGTATTTTCAAGTGTCAATTGTCAATGTCAATTCCGTTGGCATTTGGGTCAGTGGACGCTGTTTTATATTTATATTGTATAAAACCACTTATGTATAAATTTGAGAGATTGGTTACATTTTCCAACTACATAAAACATCATAAAACGTTGTCACAGCTCTAACTTCTAGTGTTGTATAATTTTATGAAATAAACATCATGACGAATCTCGACGTAAGTGATAACTTATTTATTTAGCATTGGCACTTAGAAAAAACTGCAATATTATTCACGTAATAATCATGTACAATGGGCTATTTAAATTTGGAATACCATGGAAACAGGTAAAAGTCCTATGATTAAAGGATTTTATCTTTTTTATTTTCAATGATGTCGTAAAGGTATGTACTTATTTTAATGGTTACATACCAATTTTACCACATTCAAAGACTATTTTAATTACTAGCGAAGTAATAGCTAATAGTTAGCCTGTTCTCGAACAGTTATTTATAATGATATTGCACACAGATTAGCATCCTTCAAACTTCCATGCATCTTCTTATCAATCTTCTCATCATTCAGATTTTGCAAGCTACAAGTTGTTTATTAATTGTTGAGTATAAGACATGTAAGGTTTATGACCCTTTGGCAATGCCTAATTCCATTTTATCATGTTTCTTTCATGGCAGGATACCTTGTTCATTCTTTTCTGTAGCAGTCTTAATACGTTAACCAGTAAATCTTTTCACAGACTTAAAAGGTTGTTACTAAAACTAAACTGAGATTTTTCTAAAAATTTCATTAACTTAAATTTAATCAAAACTGTAGTGCTTTCAAGGCTGACACTATAGTGCATATAAGGCTTTCACTGAGCTAGTTTATTTATTAACTAAAGTCACAAAGCTTCCTACCGTAAAGAAATATTGCATAGGTATAATAAGCCCTATTTAATTTTCAGATAATGTGCAATGATGCCTGCCAAATTTTCAATATATCCAAATGGCAACAAGAAAAGGAATAAACCAAATATTTTTATTTATGTGAGAATGTGGTGGTAAGCAGGCCTGCGATTGATCTGATGTTAAGTGATTACTGCTGCATATTTACATTTGCAACACCCATAGAGTTGCAGATGCTTTGCCACCTTATAAGTGGATCTTGTCTATGTCACTCACTAAACAAAATGCACATGTATAACACTTTAACTACATGCTGGTCCCACCTTACCCTGAGGGACCTTCCCATTTGTGCAACAGGAAAAACTGTTGCTTGGTTCTATAGCAGTATGGTGTTGTTTACTAATGTAGTTTTCATTTAAACCCAAAGTTTGTTTTTGTTGGGCCTGTTAATTCAAAAGAATAACACAAAAATAAATTGATGATACACTGAGTCTGCCAATCCGCAATGGAGAAGCATAGCAGACAGTTTCCACATACTCCATGTGAAAACAATTTTGCCAATATGTTAATATTTAAAAATAAATTTGGAACATATACATAACAATATCTAGTTCAAAACTAAGAAAAGCATGTACTATGTATACTAGGTAACTGATATACATACTTTCCTTTTGTAAATAAATACATGTTATAGATCTATAAACATGCAGACGCTAGAAAAACACCATATTCGTCCCACAATATTTTTCCAGCAACGGGGATCGAACCCGCCACACCCTCTGGTGCAAGAGGTCACTATCCACTATGCCAATTGTCGATGCCGCTAAGAATAATTCCACGTACAAACGTCATTTGATGACCCGAATGGCGTAGTGGGTAGTGTACCTCCTGCGCCAGAGGGTGTGGAGGGAGGGGGTGCGATCCCCACTACTGGAAAAATATTGTGTGATGAACATAGCGTTTTTCTAGTGTCTGGGTGTTTATATATGTATAGTATGTATTTATTATAAGAGAAAAGTATGTTTATCAGTTATCTAGTACCCATAGTACAAGCGTTGCTTAGTTTGGGACTAGAGAACATTGTGTAAAAATGTGTCCTAAAATATTTATATTTATATATTATATTTATTTCCAGGTCAGCAACAGCAGCACCGACAGCAGCTCCGGCTCCACGTCGGACAGCAGCAGCAGCGGCAGCTCCTCCACCAGCTCGGGCTCCGGCTCGAGCAGTTCCGACTCCGAGTCCTCCACGTCCGAGGTGCCGGGCCTGCTCGCCGCCGCCGCTGCCGCTCCCGCCCCCGCCGCCCCTCCCACCGCCGCCCCCGCCCCCGCCGGGCCCGCGACGCCCCCCGCGCCCGCCGCCCCCAAATCGCCGACGCAGCCGGCCGAGGAGCCGAAGAAGGACGAGCCGAAGCGCAGGCCCTCCAAAGGCAAGGCGACGTCGTCGAGCGAAGAGGAGGCCAGGAAATCGACGACCCCCAAAACCTCGCCGCCCCGCCGCCGCGCCTCGGCCAAGTCGACCGCCCCTATTAGGGCGAAGCCCCCCCAGAGGGCAGCGACCGGCGCCAAAGCGAAGGCGATCTCGAAGACGATCCCGAAGACCCAGCAGCGGTCGGACAGCACGAAGAAGAAGAGCATATTCTCGCCGGACAACAGTTCCGAGTCCGAGCCGGAGGGCGCGGTCAAGGTGTGTGGAAATGACATTAAAGACATTAAAGAAACAAAGAAACAAAATTACATAATAAAAAAAAGAAGATAAGACCGCAGTCTCTTGCCGGTTCCTATCTGGACAGGTCTAGTGGTGTGCTGTTGCCAAGGCATTGACTCCGGCGCTGGGTTCCGTGGGTTCGATTCCCACTCGGGACAACGATTTGCGCGATCCACAGATAGCCGTTTCGGATCCTGGGTCTTTGTCCACGTGAAATTTACGTTTGTAAAACGTCCTTTCAACACAGGCCGATGTTATCCTAAAGTAAGGTGAAACTTAAAAAAAAAACGTTAGTTAACCGGTGTTAGTTACTTTTGACGTTCAACAAGCCTATATTGAATGAAGACATTTTGTCCCTGACTTTGAAGGAGAGCAGCCCGAAGGCGTCGCCGCCCGGCAAGAGGACGCCGGAGAAGGAACCGAGCGGGGGGTCGACGCCGCCGCTGCCGGCGGACGCGGCCGTGAAGGAGATCGCGAAGAGACGCAGCAGCCGCAACAGCGGCCCGCCGGCCAAGAAGCCGGTGGAGGGCAAGAGCGGCTCCTCGTGCTCCTCCAGCCAGTCTTCGGAGTCCGTCTCGTCCGAGAGCGACAGCGAGCCCAACTCGAAGAAGGGCTCCCCCAAGCCAACCAAGGCCAAGCCGGCCGCTGCCACGAACAAGGTGAGCTTTACGGTGGTAGGGCCACGCAACAGCCTCGGCTGTTGCACGAATGGGCAGGTCCGTCCGGGTAAGTACCACGACCTCACAGAAGACCAGCGTAAAGTGGATGTATGACAAATACTTTCGCGTTTCGTCTGGTGAGTGAGGTAGCCGGAGCCCAATTTTCAAAAGGTTGTCAACGCATCTGTAACCCTCGGGTGTGGCAGATGTCCATGGGCGGCGGTATTCACTTACCATCAGGTGAACCGACTGCTCGTTTGGCAACTTTTCACATAAAAAAAAAAAAGCTCCAATCGTCGACCAGCTCCTGCGAGGTCGTCAGTAGGCCTAGAGACTGGCCGATAGTTTGTTTTAATTTTTTTTCATATGGGCTCATAACCTGAAACACTAAAAAAATTCTCACCCTTCAACTTCAACACGAATGGGCAGCTCCCTCCGGGTATCTACCGCGACCTCACAGAAGACCGGCGTAATGTAGAAGTGTTACACTTCTGCGTTTCGTCTGGTTAGTGGCGAGATCTTGGCCCCGCTTTAGAAAGATATTGTGTAATTAGTTTTTCTTCAAACATGCGATTTCTAGGACGAAAAGCGGCGTGTAGCGTGACCTTGACTCGCCGTTACATTTTTATCACTGTCTTTAATTTCAGAATAAAATTAGATTATACGTTATACCTTTATATAAAGATAATATTTTAAAAATTTCAAGATTCTTTGTAGGTACTAAAAATAACCTAACATCACCACGTATCACCAAGAGGGAGGAGGGGGTTAAAAAATGTAAAAAAAACATCACGTGATTAAATGACGGCCCCCTTATTAAAAGATAGCAGCATCTGCAGCCCTACGGGTGTTTCAAATGTGTAAATGTCGATAAAAAAAAATCTCTTCGTTCCAGTCCCTTCCGCAGCCGCAGGACGTCCCCAAGGTCGGCGACTCAGGCGATTCCACGCTGCCCAGGAAATTGACCAGGTCGTTTTCGGCGCGGGCCAACCGGCTGGCGACCGCCTCCAGGCCACCCCAAACAGACACGGACTCGGAGGCCGATGACAAGAAGTGAGTGTTTCATCACCATTCTATCATTTTAGGGATCCGTACCCAAAGGGTAAAACGGGACCCTATTACTAATAATAAACTGTCTGTCGGTCTGTCTGTCCGTCTGTCTGTCACCAGGCTGTATCTCATGAACCGCGATAGTTGCATATTTGAGATTTTTTCACAGATAATGTTTTACTATTGCGGATATAACAAATAATAAAAAACCGAATAAAAAATACTTAAGTGGCGCATACAGAGCGACATGATTTTTTTGCCGTTTTTATATTTAATCGTACGGAACCCTTCGTGTGCGAGTCCGACTCGCACTTGGCCGTTTTTATACAGCTTCTGCTGTCGCACGGATGGGCACGCTTCTCCGGGAAAGTGCCATGGCCTCACAGGATACCGGCGTGAAAAGAAAGTAAGTTTGTATTTTCGCCTTTCATCTGGCCAGTGGGATAGCCGGCGCCCACTTTTATAAAGGTCGTCAAAGCATCTGCAAGCTCACAAGTGTTGTAGATGTCTATGGGCGGCGCTATTCACTTAACATCAGGTGAACTGCCTGCTTGTTGGACAATTTTCTCTTAAAAAAACGACTAGCTCTCGACATAGTGTTCGAGGGATTTAAACATTTTTTTTATGTAATCTAACTCGGAACCTCGTTACAGCACAATGTTTTTTTTTTTGGTATTCGGAATTTCCATGTGTGCCCTTCCCTCTTCCGCCAGGAACATAAAGCTGTCCCCGTTCAGCTGCGCAAAGGAGGCGAAGAGGAACCTGAAGGGCAGAGCACCTGTGCCCAGGTCACCGGTGGTGGCTGACACCGCTCCCCAGATGCCCTCCGAGCGCTGCTGCCCCGTCAGGGGCTGCGATTCGAGCGGCCACCTGGGTATTGTTTTATTAGTGGTAATGTTCTGTAGGGTTCCCGTACCCAAAGGGTAAGACGGAGCCCTATTACTAAGACTCCGAAGTATGTCTGTCTGTCCGTCTCTCGCCAGGCTGTATCTCATGAACCGTGATAGTTAGACAGTTGAAAAAGGGATTTAGGAATTTGGAAAGCGAGCTGGTGTTACACCTGATGTTGAGCAATAACCACCGCCCATGAACGTTTACAACATCCGTAAGGTTGCCGATGCGTTGCTACCGTTTAACAAAGTGGGCCCCGATTATCTCGCTAACCAGATGAAACGCAGAAGTGTAACACTTTATCTTCAAGCCGGTCTTCTGTGAGGTCCCCGTACGGATCTGCCCATTCGTACAACAGAGATGACTGCTGCGCGTATGTTCCAAATGTGACAGGTCCTACTGTGCTTCAGTTTCAATGTCAAATCGATGAGAAGCGGAGTTCTATCGTTTACGAAAGTCACTTTTCAGTCGTAACATGGGAAGTGGGGAATTCTGCTGAGTTTCAATGTGACAAGTGGAGCCCTATCTTGTACGAAAGACGCTTCCGTATCGTAACAGGGAACATGGGGAATTCCCATGTTCCCTGCCCAAGGGATATGGGCGATTGACCGCCCGCTAGCTACCACTGTTAATTGCAAACGGGTTCCAAACGTGACAAGTCCCATCGCGCCTCAGTTCCAATGTCAAATCGATGACAGGTGGGGCCCTATCGTAAACGAAAGCACGCTCCCTGATCGTGACACGGGAAGTGGGGAATTCCCTATCTAATGGGCAGTCCCGCAGGCGGGAAGGCGGCGCGCCACTTCACGTGGGACGCTTGCCCCACGTACCACAACGTGACGGCGGCGTGGTGCGTAGCGGCGGCGGAGGAGCGGGCGGCCGCCTCTACGGCGCGTAGGCGAGCGCTCACCGCTCTACAGCAGCGGCCGCGCGCGATGCCGACTATCGAGCAGCGCGCCTACCAGCTCAAAGTCAAGGTGACCTTTCATCAAGTTACGCCTCTACGGAGCGTAGGCGAACGCACGCTGTGCTACGACAGCGGCCAAATGCGACGCCAACTATCGAGTAGCGCGCCTACCACTTGAAAGTCAAGGTGACCTTTCTTCAAGTTATGTTTCTACGGAGCGTAGGTGAGCGCTGGCGGACCTTGCCACACCCGTAGGGTTGTAAATGTGTTGCCGCATTTTAATAAAGTGAACCCCGGCTATCTCACTCACCAGACGTCACGCCGGTCTTCAGTGAGATCGTGGTACTTATTCGGACGGACCTGCCTATTCGTGCCACAGCGAAGACTGTTGCGGGATCCTTCTACAGTTCAATTGGCGATATATAGCTTCATAAAGCATTATCTCTTTCACACCATGCTATCAAGATGTTGTACAAGATTGCGCTTGAGAAAACCCACTACGAAGCCGGAGTTAGCCGAGTGTTTGTTACGAGGTCGATGTGCAAAATTTATTGCCCAGCACTGTACTGTGGTTACGTGTGTGTTGTATGACGTAACCTTTTTCCGAGGGCGGCTCAAATTGCCAATACCGCAACATACGCTTTGTTTACATATTATGTAATACCTAAAAAAGGCCTTTCAACCTCAAGTGATGGTGAATGTCGCAAACTTTGGCCAGCTCGACCGCTCAGCATTAATTTCCATAAATCAATATTTTTTTAAACTAATCATTATCTAATAAAAGGCATCTCGCTCGTCCACCAGGACATGCGCTCCAAATGGAAAGGCAGCCAGGAGCTGCGCGAGAAGCTGGCCGCCTCCACCGAGGAGGTGAACGAGGAGCGGGAGCCTGCGCTCGAGGGGTTCGCGCCCGACTACGACCTGAGGCTGTTCCGCGAGGCCCAGGCCCTGGCCGCGATCAAGGTCGAGGAGGAGCTGGGTGACCTGCCCTCGGATAAGGGGACCAGGTACGACGCGTGTCGTCGGATCAAGGGACTGTTGACTCCGTCGCGAGCTGGCCAAGGTGTTGGCTCCGGCGACGAGGGTCGCGGGTTCCATCTCTTCGAAATATTATATGATCTTGCTCGGTCAGAAGATATTTTATTTATTCGTTTTCGCGTTTATTTTAAAATTTAAATTTTCGTCTTTTCATATACTTTGTAGTCATCATAGTCACGGGATGTACGAATGTATAAACCGCGATCGAAATCCGTAAACATAGTTTTATTTAACAATAAATTATTTATTTAACAAATGTAGCACTACTCCTGACTAAATGGAGTGATGACGTATGCAAATGTGCGGGAAGTCGATGGATGCAGGCGGCTCAGGATCGTGCTTTGTGGCAGTCTATGGGGGGAGGCCTTTGATCAGCAGTTGACTCTAACAGGCTGAAATGATGATGATGAACAATGTGTACCTTTCGCTATCGAAATTATTGAATTGTAAAAAACTTGCAATAAAATCATTCGACGAACCGAATGGCGTAGTGGGTAGTGTACCTGCCTCCTGCACCTGAGGGTGTAGGTTCGATCCCCACTCCTGGAAAAATATCCTGTGTGATGAACATAGTGTTTTTCTAGTGTCTATTTTATCTAGTGGGTTATTTATATATGTATTTATTTACAAAAGAAAAGTATGTTGATCAGTTATCCAGTACCCATACTGCAAGCGTTGCTTACTTTGGGACAGAGGACATTGTGTAATAATGTGTCCGAAAATATTTCATTATTATATTCATGCGTGTAAACGTAGAAACTAATGCCACGGCCTCCGTCCAGATACGTGGTGATGGGCAAGTTCATGATGGAGGTGTGGTACCAGTCGCCCTATCCGGGCGACGCGGCGCGCGTGCCCCGCCTGTTCGTGTGCGAGTTCTGCCTCAACCACCACAAGTGCGCGGCTGGAGCGACGCGCCACCGCTCCAAGTGCGTCTGGCGGCACCCGCCGGGTGACGAGGTGAGTGACTTCCGCGTGGCGAGCGTAGCGCTTCAGAAGCGCTTAGCGTGACGGCTGTAGCTTCATGAGCGCATAGAGTGACGTGTGAGCGTGGGCTTGACTGATTTCAGGCGTGACGAGCTTAGCGTTTCATAAGTGCCGAGCGTGACGGCTGTAGCTTCATGAGCGCATAGAGTGACGTGTGAGCGTGAGCGTGACTGACCTCGGCGTGACGAGCTTAGCGCTTCATAAGTGCCGAGCGTGACGGCTGTAGACTCATGAGCGTATAGAGTGACGTGTGAGCGTGAGCGTGACTGATCTCGGCGTAAAGAGCTTAGCGCTTCATAAGTGCCGAGCGTGACGGCTGTAGCTTCATGAGCGCATAGAGTGACGTGTGAGCGTGGGCTTGACTGATTTCAGGCGTGACGAGCTTAGCGTATCATAAGTGCCGAGCGTGACGGCTGTAGCTTCATGAGCGCATAGAGTGACGTGTGAGCGTGAGCGTGACTGACCTCGGCGTGACGAGCTTAGCGCTTCATAAGTGCCGAGCGTGACGGCTGTAGCTTCATGAGCGCATAGAGTGACGTGTGAGCGTGAGCGTGACTGAACTCGGCGTGACGAGCTTAGCGCTTCATAAGTGCAGAGCGTGACGGCTGTAGACTCATGAGCGTATAGAGTGACGTGAGCGCGAGCGTGACTGACCTTGGTGTGACGAGCTTAGCGCTTCATAAGTGCCGAGCGTGACGGCTGTAGACTCATGAGCGTATAGAGTGACGTGTGAGCGTGAGCGTGATTGACCTTGGCGTGACGAGCTTAGCGCTACATAAGTACCGAGCGTGACGGCTGTAGACTCATTAGCGTGTGAGTTGAGTGATGCGAGGGACGGTCATAAATGTTTAAATCAAATCAGATCAAATATATCTTTATTCAAATAGATGCTTGCGCGTTCTTAAGAATTGTCTAATTGGACAATTGTCACACTAAGTTCGCAAGGTACCAGCGTACTTAGTGTGACAATTGTCACTTCCTGAGCGTAAAGCGTGACGGGTGTAGTTTCATGAGCGTAAAGCGTGACGAGTGTTGCTGCACGACCGTGAAGCGTGACGAGTGTGGCTTTTGAAAATTGTAGAGTGCTGAGCGTATTGAGTTGTGAAAATTATAGAGTTTCATAAATCCAGTACGTGATCGGTGCAAAGCTTTAAGAGCTTAGGGCGGGACTAGAGCAGAGTTTTGTGATTGCAGGTATCGAATATTGTGGTGCTTCATAAGTGCACTGTGATGAGAGTAGAGTTTCATGAGCGTAGAGCGTGACTAGAGTAGACAATCATCAACTATACTTATGGAGCTCTACAGTCTCCGCAAATGATCGTTACTAAGCTAAAGCTGAAATGATTAAAAAAAGGGAATGTTTGTGTGTTAAAGGATATTATAATATTAGTGATCATCTAAATGTTAACATACCCTGGAAATTGATCGCTCCAGGCTCTTTCAAAGTCTTTATGCCGGTTCTTCTACAAAAAAACCTTCAACGGGAACCATAAAGTAGGGACCTTCGTTTCTACATGTACCTTTCGCTTCCCCGTTTTAAAAATCAGCGGACCTTAAAAAAAGTTGGATTTTAAGCTGGTGTCGGTCGCCAGGTGTACCGCAAGGACAACCTGAGCGTGTGGCAAGTGGACGGACGGAAGCACAAGCACTACTGCCAGCAGCTCTGCCTCCTCGCCAAGTTCTTCCTGGACCACAAGACGCTCTACTACGACGTGGAGCCGTTCCTCTTCTACGTGATGACATGCGCCGACGACGAGGGCTGCCACATAGTCGGCTACTTCAGCAAGGTGCGTACTCCTTCTTTTCTCTTCTCTTCTTCCTTGTTTTCTCTTCTCTGCTACTTTATATTCACCAACCTTGCTGGATAAGATGGTCGTGTTTCCTTTATTCTTCTTGCACGCGACTTACCGTTGCTTTTTAAATGCAATGTCGAGTATATGATGACAAATTATGAAACAATTTTTCTGTTTTAAAATTACTAATTGTTCAAAGACCATTGATCTCTACAAAAATATGCTAACATATTTGCACTTTTAGATTTATTCTATCCAGTACTTTTAGGCGAAGCGTTTCTGTAAAATTTTAAATTGTTTATATTTTATTCCTTTTCTCATTTTACATATTTTTTACTCTGTAGCAACAAATAATGCTGTACAGTAAAATATAAGTGCGGGGCGGCTTTTTTTTTAAACTATTTAGTGATATATTTGAATTATTAGGGAAACTGCCAAACTTATCGGTCATATTGGGGGAAAAGTTCATTAGTATTTAATGTACGATTTTTTTTTCAAAGTTTCATTACATATAACTATAATATACATAATAAGTAATTGTAACGGCGACGAAGTTACGAACAGATATGATTTCATTGAAATATTATATTTTTATATATATTATTATTACCAGTCTTGTAGTTCTGAGATCTACAGTGTCGGAAAGAGTTGTGTCCAAGCCTTTCTTTTTAAAACCACGGTCGGCCCAGGAAATGCTCGTTAGCGAACGGCCTGTATTAATACATGCATCCGAAAAAGGTAAAGTTGACAACGAGTGTAAATATGTGACAGTGATTATTGTATCAGAGGGTTTGCGCCAGCTGATTCCACTGTGGTGGGTTACTGCGGTAGCTTGCGCAAAATTATCGCACAGTACCGTGTTCGGTCATCGAATGGTAATATAATTTTACGGTGGTAGGGCCACGCAGCGGCTTCGGCTGTTGCACGAATGGGCAGGCCCGTCCGGGTAAGTACCACGACCTCACAGAAGACCGGCGTAAAGGTTATGGTTTATAAGAATAGCTAATTGTTTTTACATTAAATACATTACCGATACGCTGGGTGGCTTGTTATTTTTATATATATTATTACTATAACATCAACGGTGCCAAGTTTAAAGTCTAGTGATATTTGCATTTAACTTTCAAGGACAATTGTCTAAAGCCTTTAGTACTGAATCTCGAGGTTTATCTAATTAAGTAGACCAGCGTAAAAAAAAGGAATTATAATATCAATCAAACAAAAAATGTTGTCGCCGCATTTTCAGTTCGTAAAAACTATAAATTATTTTTGCACCGCTATCCCGCAACTTTATTACCTATCTTGTACCATAAGGTTCTAAGAAATAGCTGCTTCAGCAATAAGGCCGCCCATATATTGTTCACTAATGTTTCCTGTATCTTCTTGTTGTAACTCGCACCCCCCCCTTTTATGCATGTATATATAATTATAACTTATATATTTTTTCCCCCATTATATGAATAAATCATATAACATCATTACGTGACCAGGATAAATTATTGATCTTTCTAAAGGATCTTTCTAAAGGTAATAATTAGCCGTATGAAATATTATTGTGATCGTCATGTTCGGTAGGACCTTATTTACGTTGTGTTTATTTAGTAACTTGATTCTTTTAGGTGTATCTTGGATAGACAAATATTCACTAGTTGTGGTATAAGCCAGAGATAATGTCAGATTGCTTTCTTATTAACTAATCCCGACTCGCTTGAGACGGGCTCAGAGTATATAGTATACTCCCTCTCACGCTTGTAAAGGGCTCACAATATAATTTTAAACTAATATCCCTTCTCTCTTGAAAAGGGCTCACATCAATTTTACATACCCGATACAAGTCAACAGCTCCCCCACATTTTAAAAAAAATGTAGGGAAGGCACACGGCTCCATGAAAACACTCACCAACGCCGTGTGCGGTGAGCGCCAACCAACATATTGCGCCCCCCCCCCCCCCCCCCCAGAAGAGGGACAAAAAGTTGGGGAAAGGACCGAAGTCCATTGCAAAGCTGTTTTACCAGCATAAAGAGGGCTTGTCCCCTTGGCAGTGCGTAAGCACAAACTTTGACCGAAGTCGCGCATGTCAATGCGTGTAAACGTCATACAAGCCGACGACAAATCCAGTCTTCGTGAATGTACGTCAATACGGTTTTGGGCATGTGTTAAAGATCAGGCACTCTGGCCCTATGATATAATAAGCCCTCCGTAAGCGCCACCACTTTTGCCAGATCGCCGCGACTGCAGACGTGATTGTTAGTGTTTTGGCATCACCACCATTAAAAAGGTTAGCACGACATTTCGTCGCAGAGCGCGTAGCCCCAAGGGTATGGTTAAAAACGTTGCACGGCATCGCCGCAGCCTTGAGAGGTTTTCTCCCGCCAGCTACCATCCACATGAGGTAAACGCCTATGCTCCACCAACCATTGAAATAGTCAGATATAGCCATAGTTGTGATTTTTATGTTTAGCCATCAGAAGGGTTATAATTGGCAACATATATTTATTTGTCAGTGTCTCTGACGTTGAGTATATAGTGTATTTTCGATCAAGTTTGTCTCACCCCCCAGCAAGTTGCCATTATTCGTTCGAACGGTGGGAACTTTACTGAGATTCGTTAATAATGATAAAACGTATAAAGAGGTCAGACAGTCTGCAGTTCCGTCATCAGGAACCCGACTTGGACAAATCTACTGAGATGTGCATCAAACCGAGACGCAGACTCGGCCATTATGAATAGCGTCGTCTCCCAAGCAAATGTCGCAAGACGCAATGTCACCAAATGCAACATGCATCAATACAACTATCGCAGGTCAACACGCCAACATACAGCCTATCCGCATACACAGCAGACATCATCACCTCGAACCTCCGTCAACCAGACTCATACGATGCAATGATATTAGGCGCAGATCACCCCGCAAATACCACAAGACGCAGTACTGCATATAGCCGCATGCATCAATGTGACTATCGCGTAGGTGGCACACCCTCACACCACACCAATACAACTCCAATCAACTTCAGCTCCAAAGTTTAGAATATACTCGGAACACACGAAGTGTCCAAACATACTCCTTCACGATCCGAATGATAGTCGACGTATCATAGCGTAAACACTAAGACGCCAACCACCAACGGACCCCCACCCAAGCCAAGTAATAGCCAACGTATCATAGTGGAATACACTAAGACGCAAGCCACCACCAGACTCCCCAAAGTCAGATGATCAGTTGACGTATCATAGTGCAACACACTAAGACGCCAACTACCACCAAACTCTTACTATGCCGAATGACAGCCAACGTATCATAGTGATGGTCACTAAGACGCCAACTACCACCAGCTATCGATGATATGTCCACCACTGAAGACATATCCATTCATGGTTCCACGTTTACCGTAGACCATATCATCGTACAGAAGTACCACGCAACTCCATAGTAATATGTCTTATAAAGTCCCAAGTCATTCATTGCTCTTCATTATATTTATTATTTTTTCTCTGAGCCTTCACATATTATTACTTTTAACCATTAGACCTTACTTCCATATGATATTGGTATGGGACGTTCATACAATGTACTTTGACTATAGTACTAAGAGTCGCGATCGACCTCTGTACTTACATATGTGCGGTCATACAAATGTGTCCCCGCACGGTACATGATACTTCCCTTAGAAATCACTAAGTATGTAATTGTATTTAATGGACATAATAGTGATCGTATCTTGCTATATTTTTAATAAATATCCTTTTTTGAGTATTTTAAGTGATTTTAACTATTTTTTATCAATTTTTTATCAATTTTTGGTAATATCATTTTCTCATAATAACGCTTATATTTCTTAAATTTAAGTATATATTATTAACTTTTATTGTGATTAAACGTTCTTAAACGTTTTATTTTCATCTTAATTGATCTTTATTATGACTAATTAATAATAATATTTATTATTATTAATAGGTCGTTACATTGTGTTCAAAGTATTAAGTTCCCATTCTATAAAATTTATACGTGATAACCGATTATTAATTAAAAGTTGATCAATAAATGTTATTTTTTAATTATCATGGTGAAGGCATACACAACATGTCATTACTCTTTGTGAACCTAAAAGAGTCCGCGAAATTCATGTCACCCTATTCCACGTATCCTACACCTTAATCGTCTACGCCAGCGGTTCTCAAAGTTGACTGAGTTACGACACATCTAAAAAAATTCCAGTCTTTCGAGTTGGGTACCTCTTGGCTGTTTTAGAGAAGAGGTCATATATGCTAGTTAAACTCAGATCCTAGTAGCTAGTCGTGGAACGACTTATGCTGTCCTTAGTAGACATGAAAAAAAAGATTTAAGCGTAAAAAATATTTACCAATATGTATGAAGAACTTTTGAAATAAGTCGCATTGTATATCATTCAAGGCCCACTCAATATTCGCCAGATAGACCCACCGGTGGGTTACCAGCATTTTCCAAACCAACAGTTTGGGAAATGCTGGTCTACGCAGTAAGGTTTAAAATGACTCACGAATAAGTTGTTAAGTTTGAATAAGAGCTCGTTGCTTAGATGATTTATTTATTGATTATAAATTAAAGCAGCACGTGAACTTTGAAATTCACATATTCGGTAAAAACTTAGACATCTATTAATGTGAGCGTCGCCAGACGTCCGGTTTTAAGATCATAATTAAATGTCTCCACGCCAGGCTTTTGTGGAGTGTCTAAGTAATACAGACAGTTTTTGTTATTAGTATGGAAGGCGTAACATATTTTTATTAAAAAAAGTTGTAATGTATCACAGATAAAACAATAACTCATAAAGTCTGGTAATTTATACCTACACCATGACAATGTTAACAATTTCACATTTTTTTGAATTACGTAAAATTAGTGTTTCTGGCTAGTTTTCTTGTGAGACAACGAAGAAATAACGACTCCGTGGCGCAGTTGCTAAGGTATTGGTTTCGGCTTCGGGGTTCGTGGGTTCGATCCCCACATGGG